AAAACTACCTAAACAAAGAAAATAAAATCTCAAATATTTGGCACAATTTTGAAAAGCTTTCAAAACTGGCCTTACAAAAATAGTTTGAAAAAGTATGATTTTCTTTAATAATAAGATATATATTGTGAAAAATTAAATCACAAATACTTTTGACCACAAACAGAACATTAAAACATTTCTCAGGTCCTGTCAAATTGCCATTAGAAGATACTAAATACCCTTAAGGCTGATGTGTATTCAATGATAATATTTGTTTTAGATTTAAAGGGTTATATAAATATTAACCTCAATTCAAAAAAGTTCAACAATCTCTAGTGTATATTTAAATGGCTAACACATAATAAGTAATTGTTAATTATATGGACTTATATTAAGTGTCAATAGTCCTTAATGATTAGCAGGCTAAGCTACTTCAAAGTGTTAATGACAGTTTTAATCAATTTATGCTAATCTTGCATGTACTACCATAAATCTTTAACCCTACCAGACACATCAAATATGAACAAAAGGAGATATGGGGTATAGCTCAACAAGACAGCAACCTCACCTCACCAAAGAAAAGACATCTTGAGGCCAATATACAATGTACCTTCTTCAACTAAAGACAACAAAAGCACTAACTGTGGATTCATTTATTTTTCATGGGTACCAATTTTTCGTGGATTGGGTAAAACTTGCATCTTCATGGATATTTAATTTCATGGTTTTGCCAAAGCCTGCATACAAATCTATAGAAAATTTGCAATAGGTTGAACATTTAAAATTGTGGTTTCGCCTCTACCCACTAAATACATGAAAACTCTGGTATCCCACGTATAATAATAAATTCACAGTAATTGGCATGGTTCTAGAGAAGTTCTCAATAAATACATTTTACACACTTTCAAAAGATCTGCCATCAATATAAAATTTCCCAAAGGAGAAAATTATTAAGTTATAATGAAAGTCTCAAGCAACTTCATTCTTTTAAAAAAAAAATCCTATCATTTCAATAGACATAATTATATATAATAGTAGAGGAAAGATCTGCCTTAAAAAAGATGTGTAGCTTGTTAGTTGACTTGTGCAAGTGCCATACGTATCTAGGCAAAGACAGAAACAGGGGGAAGTCCCGGTGGTGGTGGAATAGGGGAATGGATGCCAAATATTAAAACCAATCTAATGAAAATGATATTTCTTTGATTGCACCCCTTTTTTCTGTTATGTCAGACTTAATTAAAATACCAAAGACATATTTTCTGCAATTCTTGGATGTCAATATATCTTATAGAATTCATACTTCTACAACAACAACACAATTATTCTATAGATTTATCAAGGTTCTAACTCACACACCCCTTTATGATTTTTAAAAGTTAAATGTTTTTTAAATATGATAATTACTAATTTCCATTTGAAACATAACAAATATTGACTGTAATTTGCCATATCAAGGTCATATCAATCATACAAATAATAAATAAAATATGCTATATTGTTATACTGAAAAATTAAATTCTTTTCATTGTAGTTTGTCTACAAAAATAGCATTTTAACTTAAGTTCGAAGTAAATTCAAAAGACTTATATAATACATCTATCTTACATTATAATAAAATCTGATGATTTGGAACTTCTGCACTGATGCACAATTTTGATCAGTCCATTAATTTCATACACATTTTTTACCAGTATAATAAAATCATTGTCAAAACTATTTATTAGCCTTATGCTAGAAGTTACCTTTAAAAATCATGATAGGAAGTAATATTATATCGAACTTCAATACCAATTACGTCAATATTTTCAAGGCGTACATAGTAACAATAAGGATGTGATTCTCCTTTCTGATTTTTATCACATTTAGATATTCTATCATAGTTCAAATAAACATGAAAAATGGCGTTACTTAGTTAAAAGCAAGTATTAATAAGCCATTAACAAGGTTTTCCATATTAACGGCTCAGCTATCCAGGGATTTGTTTTACTTTCGTTTCAAATTGCCTGGGTCAATTTTATTATTATCACTAAGCCTAGATCTGTTACAATGAAATCTTCTTATCTGATCCTCCGCCTTTCTTCACCAATAAAAACTGACCGCCACGAAATAGCCAATAGTACTGAAGGAGGCATTAAACACCAAAAATCAATCAATCTTATCTGATCCCATTTGATAACACAGGTTTTAAATGTGCAGAATTGAAAATGTTGAACTTACTCAGGTTTTTGGTAGACACCAAGGTTTCAAATTACAAATATAAAGTTTCTTCTATTCCCAGTTACTTTGAAGAATTAATGTGGGAAGTTCCATTAGGCCCCAGCAAATCCTAAAAAAAGGTCTTCAGATGTCAGAACAATTTCAAGACTACCTGCCTTCCTCAGGTCTGAAAGTTTTGAAGAGGGTGACAATCCTTCAGAAACAACACATGTACAGCACTACTATGATAAGATCTGTTAGCATGGGTAGTACAAATCTAGTCCCTTTTTAAAAAGTCTTAGTTGTGACAGATAGGAAATAAAGGAGACGTAAGGTAAATGTCAATAAGAATGACTATTGTGGATTCACTATTATTTGTTGGTTACCCACTTCTGTGGATTTCGTTGACAGAGGCAAAACCATGCACCAATTTAATGCACAATGAAGTATGAATTTCCTATTGGATGTTGTATTGAAACTTTGGCAAATCCGCCACACCAAATTTCCACGAAAACAGGTAACCATGAAAATAAATGAATCCACGGTATTACATTTTGTATATAAATGTACATGTAGATTAATTGTCTTGGATAGCCTTACCTGACCTATGGCACAAGAAATCCACTATTGTAAAATATTTTTACACCTATAATGCCATACTGTATTTGCAGAAGTATTCTTATCTTACAATGTACATAATGAAATTAAAAATTACCAAGATTTAAAGGCAACAAGATAAACCTACCTTAAATCTATTTAAATAAGAGTAGGAGATAGAAAAAAATCATTTGTTTCATAAAAAGAATAGGCTAGCTTACTAGCAATTATATATATCTACTATGTCAAGCAACTATAGGAAGAAAATTATTTTTTAAACAAGCCGTTCCTGTAGATATCTTTATTTTAATCTCAATGATGTATATGTATGAATGTTGATTACTAACAGCAATTGATTATCCCTAAAACCAATTAGTCCTTTACAACTTTTGCGTTGATTTTTGGCTGTCACAGCATCTTTATACCCAAATAAAATAATCTGTGTACAATGGCATAATGCTGTCTATGACAGGTGATATTATCTGTGAGGATACAATATGAACATGATGAAGCACAATCAAAATCAATATTTGCTAATTTTTACTGCAGAAATCAGCACTTTGTAGTTTTAATCAATTTCATGCAAGTGGTCAGTCTAAGGCCAAAACAAAAATTACATACAGTGTTGAGCATTTCCCTACCTTTCCTTTTCTAAAAATGCCTATCCTAACAAATTTTGGCACTTTTGGTATTATGTTTGTAAATCTATAGTACATGTATTATTATACATATTTTTTCTATACCTAATTTAGAATCCAGCATCATGGCATAGACACTTAAAGAAACCCCTATATAATTATAACCTCTACATAAACTTGAGGTTTTTTGTTTTTTTTTGGGTCATTGGGGTAGTGTCTAAATAACTTACCATTGGTATCTATTTCTATTTATAAACATGGTAAATGAAATGGATCACAAGCAAAATAACAACAGTGTTTAATAACTGATGAATAGCTTCCACTGTTGAAAATGGAATTGAATCATTTGCTGATTAAGGTACATGTAGGGCGGTCTTCACACAGGCCCAACAGCCTAGGTTTGTAATTATATAATTTTCTACAGGGCCTGTAAGAATTTCCATTACACTAGGCCAATAAAATCTATACAAAATTTTACAAAAAAAGCATGTCAAGCATGTGGCTGCACAAATCTATCACTTTAGTTCTGGAGGGTTTATATATATATATACATGCAGCAGATTAAAATCATAGTTATTTAAAGCCCCTGACTGCAACAAACACTGTGTATCATGAAACAGACAAGTGCTAATTAGAAAACTTTTGTGACATGCAAAGGTAACACTGCCCCAGTGAATCTTGCTCTTTTGAGGATTGGATCTGGTGTAATGGTTAGAACATGTCTTTACATGCTACATGTAGGTGCATGGTCGTCAAAGAATGTAAAAAATGGTTGTAAGTTTGTCTCCCGAGCTATGACTTAACTACTTAAACATCAAATATGTGTGTACAGACGATTTTGAGGGTGGAAATTACTATAACATTTGTTTGGTTAAACTATTAGGCCTTAAAATGTGCTACTATCTACATGTATATGCATTTGAAATAGTCCAACATCATGAATTTTGTTTAAAATTCTTAATAAATAGTTCAATAAAATCTTTTTAATATGCATACATTTTTAAAATGTAGAAATTATAAATACAAAAATCAATATGTAGCATTATCTGAATTTATTAGCTTTTAAGAATAAAAGTGCATTATTTATTCATTCAACGATTAAATAGGACGATTTGTAGTAATTAACACAGACATTCATTCATATACTATGACATTGACAATGTATATAATATGTCAATCACAAAAGAGAATATTTGATTGAAACAAAAATAATTACCAATTGAAAAGAAAATCCTTACCTAATTTGTCATGTCAACTTCCAAATCGTTTTTATTTACTCTTTCTCAATCGTTTTCTGTGTATTACGTGCGTTCTTCATCTGTCGATCTGATAAATTTTCCCAATACACAAAAATCTAACAATTCCATTCACAAATTCTGACAGCTCTTGCTCTCAGCTGTTTCATCAAAATATTACAATTTACTAAGATTTGATTGGTCAATATAATAATCATACAATTTATATCAATCGGTAAAAAAAATTAAAACATTTTCATAACAAATACTTTGCTTTGTTGAATTATATGAAACTACTTACTAACTTAGGACACGAACTGAATTTATTGTGTGATTTAGAAATAATAAATTGTTTATAATATTTACTCCGGGATTTCAATATGTCAGCGCCCATATTATAGCAGACGATTTACGTAACTTTCTACAAGTTTTGATGTCCGTTGTCACCTAGGAGAGAAACACAGATTAAAAAGACTGTAATTTACTCTCTATAACAGGTTTAATGACAGAAAGATTAATTGTCTCATTGGAATGCAGCAACAGCCAAGATTATTAATCTTTTGTCAAAATAAGAAATTATCATGTAATACATAGAGCAAGTCTCACAAAAGTACATACTAACCAAATGGTCATTATAATGACACTTAAGATGTAACGTTTCTTATCTATAAATAAGTAATTATAAATGAAAGTGAACCAACGCCTGGTGAATCTGTAGTACGGTAGAATCCCTGAAGTGGATACCTCGGGTATGCAGGGTCGTTACGATAAACACATAAATAATGTAGAAAGTCTTATAACGACAACACTTGAGAAATTGCTGCGGTAATTTTATTCATCGACATGTTTTGTTGCCTTATCAGGATACAAATAGTACAAATAAATGAGCTTAAGTGGAAAATCGCGTAGTCTAAATGCAATGTAATAGTGTAACCATGGCATTGAAAGTGAAAGTGAAAGTGGAATGTTAAAGTAATAGGCAATGAAACAATATAAATAAATTGTCAACATGATAGAGAATTTGAGTAAAATAAATTGTTCATAAATAAAGTATTTGTTCGAATATTTATGCGTAAGTTAATATTTACTGAAAATGTTGTAAATCATGTAAATTGAATGTACAAAAAAGTGTCTGTCCTATAAATTTTCCGGAAGTTCATTCAAGCATACTGTTTCATCACTTGAACTTGTGGTGAGGTTTATTCAGGTTTCACTGCTTAAATCCATGATGTATCCTTATTTATTGGTGGTGTATTTAGATGAGGTATCTGGACACGAAGTGTCATAGTCTGATAAGAATAGGTCTTCGGCAAGGGTGTGGTTAGGTTTTGTAGTCCAGATGTTGAAGGTCTTTGGTCATCATATGGGGAGCTTCCTGCTACGATTCTGAAGATAGGAGTTTTTCCGTTTCATTCTTTCTTTTGAAGAGCTTCAAATAGAGGTTTCCATCTTTTAACTGTTTTTGCCATTTCCCGTGGATTGTGTTTAAAACTTTGATAGTCTTCTAAAGCCTTTTCAGGATGTTTTGTTTTTAGGTGTTTAGGGTCTATGTATTGCAATTGAATCGTGGTTTAATTTTTACTGATGGTTATTATCTTGGAATTGTTGTCTTAACCATATCTTTTATTTAGCCCCCAAGGTTAGGTTCTTTCAAATCTGTGAATTAATGCTTCTTCAGTTCTGAGTATGACGTTTATGTTTTTTGGAGTTGTTGTTATGCCCATGATGGTGACGTTGTTCTTACTGTAACCATTTGAGGTGAAATGTTTCGAGACTGGTTTAAATTGATTTTCAGTGTTAATGTCTTGAAGGCGTCCCCTGAATCTTTAAACTATTTTCTGTTTGACGTAAGAATTGTTTTTGACATTTTTTGCACACTATTAAATAAACCACACTTTCTGTAATGCATGTGAATTCGTGTGTAACATTTATGTAGTAGTGGTTCACGGTGCTTTTTGCGTAATGAGCAATTTTCATTAGTTTGCAAAGGTAGCAATTATGTTCACAGGGCTGCTCCCCTTGCAGATTTCTTTGCGTACCATTTTTGTTTTGATTAGTATTTGTTTGATTGATAAGGCTGGTCTGTATGCAATAATCATGATAATGAGTTTGTGTGTAGCAAGGGTTTGTGTGTGGGGGTTCTGTTGATGATATCTTTCCTCTGATTAATGATGCTATTAAGATTTTTTATTTTTGGGTTGTAGTTGATCACTAATGGGGTTATATTGGACTACATAATTTCATTAGTTAGTTCCAGTTTTAAGAGATTTCTTCTCTGAACACATATCCAAAATTTAACATTATTGTTTTATAAATTCAGGGTAATTGTATATAAGGCCAACAGGAATCAGGGCGAAACAGCCAAGTGTAGCATGGTATTCATGTATGAACCCCCTGAAAATTGACCCTGGGTTTAACTTTTGTATTTTTGGTAGCAAACTGTATATTCCACAACTGGACTTTTAGAAAACATGGCCTGCCTTATCCAGATAAAAAAAAATCTACATATTTAAAAAAAGCTGAAGTGATATAAACTTGCCAAAAAAACCCAAAGGACAAGGATGTTACATGTGACATTGACCTGCCCTATTTTAGTCAGACTTGATAATGTACATTTGATTTTTTTATGGCTGTACATGTGTATGATGTGACAATCTACAAACATGAAAAAGTCAGAAATTATAGAGATTTTTTTTATTAAAAATATTTTACATGATTACTCAAGACCTGATTTTTATATGTCCCATTAAAAAAATAAATTTGATAGATCTATTGGAACATTACTCATTCCTTAGGCATCATCCATTCACATTTGCACTTTATTAGGTATGTAGTTTCTATGGAAACTATTTAAACATTCCTATTCAACATTAACGTATTGTTTCTCATGATCAAAATGAAGGTCAAATTTGATTTTTGACAATTTTCCTGTTCGGAGAAGTTATGATCCATAATTGATTAAAAAATTGGACTATGTCATTTCTATTACCAAAAAAAGTGAGAACAATTTAACTAATCCTTTTAAATTTGAATTTGCTGTTTCTCATGACAAAATGGAGTTCATAATACATTTTGATGATTTTCCCTTCCTTCAGGAGTAATGGTCCTTGATTGATTAAAAAGGGTGCTATATGGCATTTCTGTGAGAAAATTTCAGCAGAGTTCAACCAATTTAAGTTACAGCCCCTTATTTCTTTTGCTTTTGATATATATAGATTGAAAGAAAGCTTGGTTTTGATAGCCATTTGTTTTTTTTTCTGATTTACTTTTACCATTTTATTTAATTAAAACAGGTAATTTTAAATATGGCTTCTAGTTCACTTGTACGAATACCATGTCGTCGTATGAGTCAGATGGCTAGACAGAAACGCAGTAGAGAACTTGTGGATAAAATAATTCGTGTGGATCATGCAGGAGAACTTGGTGCTGACAGAATTTACCAAGGACAGCTGGCTGTACTCGGGAATACTTCAGTAGGACCAGTAATTAAGGTAGTTATTGATATATCTTACACATAATAGAAAAACAAAGGATATGGGGTATCCATTTTTATGGATACCTCATATCAGGCTATTTAAGGGTGGGGTTCTTCAACCCTTATTATAATAAAACAAGGATTTTTTTGAATGTGGAAAAATTTTGAATTCTGGAAAATTTATGATGAAATATAGTAATATAGCCTAGTTACTGATTGATTGATTGATCAACACTGTTGTGCTATTTCGTGGCGGTCAGTTTTTATTGGTGGCGGAAGCCGGAGTGCATGGAGAGAACCACCGACCTTCGGTAGGAAAACAGACAATCCTAGTCAATTAAGATTGAAGTCAAGTGCACCTGCCTTGTGCGAGATTCAAACTCACAACCTCAGTGTTGACTGGCTAGTGATACAGTAGTTGGACTACTTAGACCACTCGGCCACCTAGGCCCCCTAATTAATGAGGGTTAGCCATGCATGAAGGGGGGTTAGTTACATGAAGCTCATACTGAAATATCAGTAAAAGTAACTTGAACCTTAGCCATGCATGCATGGCTAACCCTCTAAAATTTTCCAGAATTCAAAACTATTCCAGATTCAAATAATTCCTTGTTTTAAGGCTTATTTAATCCAAATTAGAAATGGAATACCTTTGTCATCACATGTTTGAGTGGACATCTAAATTAAAATCATTATCTTTTGTAGTAAGGGGATGTAAGCAAATATGAATACAACAAATTCATTCCAGAACTTTCAAGGAGTTTTAAAAGAACTTATAATTATAGTTCTACTTTTGTGCACTACAACTGCACATATTTTAGTCTGTCAGAAAAACTGTTAAACAAGGCAAAACTCACATAAAGAAAATTTTCCATTTAATTAAGAAAACTAATCAGATTTACATGGTCTTCTTTCAAGGTTTCAAGCGAAAATCAATGCCTTCTTCTATTTATCAGACTCAATTTTGTCTTAATAAATAGATTCATCACAGGAATTCATTAATTTTGTGGCATTGCATAGAATTGTAATAAAAGCATAAAACCTAAAGCTTTAAGTGTAGAAATTGGATATTAGTAGGCCCACACAAAATTAATACAATGTATTATTGAGTTGATAATATGATATACATGTACATATTAACACAAATAAAACTAGGAAATAATTTCAATTTACAGCATTTGTTTACACAGCGATTCAAAATACCACTGATAGATCATTAATTTATTAAGGAGAGTCGAAACAGTTTCACATTGTATTGTCATTTTTGTAATTTACCGGTAGGATATGTTGTAAATTGAGATGTTAAAGTTTGTAATTAAATAATAAGATAAAACAGAAGTTATCCTGCTTGTTCATGAATAAAAATGAGGCTCAAAATTGGAAATATTTGTACATTTTGATTAAATTTGTTAACAATTTTAAGATATTTTAAAAACTATTGGTAAAATAAGTAAAATTTGTTGGCATTTGTTAAGCAGTTTTACAAGTTCCTTATACTGTCATTTAAAAAAAATATTTCCTGCCAAAGGTTGGTGGTATTCAATGATAGTTTGGGTACTCCGGCTTCCATCACCAATAAAAAATTTCATGATATAGCTAAGAGTGCTGACAGTGGCATTAAACGCTAAAAATTAATAATATTGTCATTTTAGAAATAAATTCTTATATTATGTGGCTTTCAATGTGAAAAAAAAACAACAAAATACCACTTTGTTTTCATTCGTTTAAAAGCGACAAGAGATTTCTTTTTTGTATTTTATTCGTCTACTTCTTGTAGGGGAGGTGTTTAACGTCATTGACGTAACCCATAAGAGTCTTGCTGGGTTGGACCTGGCTTACGTTTTTTGGGCCAATGGGGCATTTCAATAATTTATTCTTACCATAGGGTATAATCTAATACAATGAATAAATTTGTGTAAATTTCAATTTTTCAGATAAGATTCTGCTATTTCGACATCATAAACAAAACAAATAAAATTGGGAAATTGACTGTTCATTATCATCAACTGTTAACTTTCCTGAAACTATATCGGCTCACCTTAAAAATCAACCTCAATACTATGTATATATAATGTATTTGTGTGTTCCTTCATTATCGAACAGTTGTCTATGATAGTAACTTTTTCTTTGACTAATTGAGTTATTTCCCTTGGCTGCCTGTCTTATTAGATTAACCAAATTTAAACAGGCCATACTAATCTGATTAAAGTTCCTCACTTTATCATAGTGATGAATTATACAACTATTAATAGGTTCTACCTATTTCTATTATAGATGGAATATCTGGTTTTATCTAGTTTTCCATTGATTTGGTTTGAGAAAGAGTTATTTCCCTTGGCTGCCTGTCTTATTAGATTAACCAAATTTAAACAGGCCATACTAATCTGATTAAAGTTCCTTACTTTATCATAGTGATGAATTATACAATTATTTATAGGTTCTAGGTGTAATACCACCAAATCATAGTACCTCACATCAGGTTGCATACGAAAATAGGTCGAAAAAAAATATTCCCTTGAATTTGACAGTTGTAGGTAATTGATCCTACATTTCATTGCAGTAAAACATTTCTGAGTCATAAACATATATCTTGGGTATTTCAAAGCACCATTATTTCTTTATTTGGGGTTTCTATAGAATATTTTGGAAACTTGAGGTTACATGGTTACTAAAGCTTGTACACAGGTTAAAAAAGGGGGAAAATTTGATTGGTTAACTTCCAGTGATGGTTATTTTCTTATATGCAATGAAATGTTATGTGAAATTTTTTCTATAGTACTGGACAGGATAAAACTTTACTCATGCCAAGGATTTCTTTATTTGAAACAAAGATAAATTCTGCACAATTTTTTGAAAAGTGCAAATTTAACAAAGACTAATAGGGGAAAATCAATGGTGGTATTACACCTCTACCTATTTCTATTATACATGGAGTATCTGGTTTTATCTAGTTTTCCATTGATTTGATTTGAGAAAGAGTTATTTCCCTTTGAAATCAATACTAAATCAACCGAATTCAACCTGTTATATTCCAAGTATAATAGAAATAGGTAGAACCTTTGTCAAACAATTACTGATAATAAAAACTGGTTCAATTTTACTTCAAGAATAAGTGATGTCAAGTTCATTTCTCTAATTGGTAGCCAATTAATGCCGAACGGTTGATAAATTCTTAAAAACCAACGTCTAGCGTGTGTGATCTCAGTTCTTCATTGGTAAAAATTTAATTATGATGTCAAATTTTTTGCTTTCCTCTGAATTTGCTATAATGACATCATGAAAAAAGGCAACCATGCCTGATGACTTCTCATAGAAAGAACACATCTTTTTGTAGAACATTGAAAAAGAAAGATGAAGTTTGCCTAAAAATGTACATATCGTCTTAAGCGCGGGCACATGATACAGTTTTGATCCCACGGTGAATTTTTGACGAAAGTTTGCATGCAAGCTATTTTTCACATGGTTAATTCAAATATGTAATAAAAAATATACCTTCATATGCTACTTTTAGAGATAACTGAGGTCGAAATTTAAGACGTTTACTGGAAATTTTAGTTTCTTTGAAATTTCTATCCTTTGGAAAGACATACCTAACTTATTTGTTTTAAAAGATAAATGCAAACAGATTTTTGTACAAACATTTGGATTATCTCACGCAGCGTAAATTTAAGTTTTACATAAGGACTTATTGAAACCTCCTTGGAGACAGTAAACTTTTATACGGATAGTTCATTCAGCTTGAGTACTTCAATTAATCATTTATTATAACATTTCTATCATAAATGAGTGAAATTTACCCCAAAATTTTTATTTATTGGCCTAAAAAGTAGAAATTTTGAGGAAATGAGAGGTATAAATGGACCAAAAGAGACCTGATAAGGAAGACAAAGAGGTCCATTAGTAGTATTTATCATCCTAAAGTCATCTTTTGTATCATATTCAACTGTTTGTAGGCAGATGAGATAAATATTTGATCATTTATTGGTCCACACTATATTCTATCATGATGCGGCTTGGTTTGAATTATTCGAAGAAATTTTGCTCGAATCGCTGTAGATGTCGTCTTACATTATACTAGATTTTTCTCAAACTATTGAACTAATTATGACAAAACTTGACAGGAATGCTTGAAATAACCAGTATTACAAAGGAAAAAAGTCACATTCAGTTTATTTAAAAAAAAAGTCTTCTTTAGGTGTAATACCACCAAATCATAGCACGTCACATCCGGTTGCATACGAAAATAGGTCGAAAAAAAATATTCCCTTGAATTTGACAGTCGTAGGTAATTGATCCTACATTTCATTGCAGTAAAACATTTCTGAGTCATTAACATATATCTTGGGTATTTCAAAGCACCATTATTTCTTTATTTGGGGTTTCTATAGAATATTTTGAAAACTTGAAGTTACATGGTTACTAAAGCTTGTACACAGGTTAAAAAAGGGGGAAAATTTGATTGGTTAACTTCCAGTGATGGTTATTTTCTTATATGCAATGAAATGTTATGTGAAATTGTTTCTATAGTACTGGACAGGATAAAACTTTACTCATGCCAAGTATTTCTTTATTTGAAACAAAGATAAATTCTGCACAATTTTTTGAAAAGTGCAAATTTAACAAAGACTAATAGGGGAAAATCAATGGTGGTATTACACCTCTACCTATTTCTATTATACATGGAGTATCTGGTTTTATCTAGTTTTCCATTGATTTGATTTGAGAAAGAGTTATTTCCCTTTGAAATCAATACTAAATCAACCGAATTCAACCTGTTATATTCCAAGTATAATAGAAATAGGTAGAACCTTTGTCAAACAATTACTGATAATAAAAACTGGTTCAATTTTACTTCAAGAATAAGTGGTGTCAAGTTCATTTCTCTAATTGGTAGCCAATTAATGCCGAACGGTTGATAAATTCTTTATAACCAACGTCTAGCGTATGTGATCTCAGTTCTTCATTGGTAAAAATTTAATTATGATGTCAAATTTTTTGCTTTCCTCTGAATTTGCTATAATGACATCATGAAAAAAGGCAAGCATGCTTGATGACTTCTCATAGAAAGAACACATCTTTTTGTAGAACATTGAAAAAGAAAGATGAAGTTTGCCTAAAAATGTACATATCGTCTTAAGCGCGGGCACATGATACAGTTTTGATCCCACGGTGAATTTTTGACGAAAGTTTGCATGCAAGCTATTTTTCACATGGTTAATTCAAATATGTAATAAAAAATATACCTTCATATGCAACTTTTAGAGATAACTGAGGTCGAAATTTAAGATGTTTACTGGAAATTTTAGTTTCTTGGAAATTTCTATCCTTTGGAAAGACATACCTAACTTATTTGTTTTAAAAGATAAATGCAAACAGATTTTTGTACAAACATTTGGATTATCTTCTCTACATAAGCTTGCCATTGATTTGTGCAACACTAAATCTTTGGAAACAATTCATTTTTTAAAAAATTTCATGATTCAGTGTTTTTTGCTATATATTTATCCAATTAAAAAAAAATTCATCCTTGATTTGTTCCCAAAAAATTGGCTCAATAATCTTCATACATAATTAAGCCAAATTTCATTTTAAAAAAGAGGGGTCATAGTACTCGTTTTCAAGTTGAATTAGTCTGTAAGATAAAAAACTGTCGAAAAATGAATCTTATTCATGAACAGCCTTTGTTAGTCTTGTATCATTTTTAATTTTAATTTCTTGTGTATAATTTGGAGTTTAGTATGACGTCCATTATCACTGAAATAGTATACATATTTGTTTAGGGGCCAGCTGAAGGACGCCTCCGGGTGCGGGAGTTTCTCGCTGCATTGAAGACCTATTGGTGGCCTTCGGCTGTTGTCTGCTCTATGGTCAGGTTGTTGTCTCTTTGACACATTCCCCATTTCCATTCTCAATTTTACTTCTCCTGATATGTCACAGTTCGACGTCGCGAAGAATAACATTTTTTGTTAGTGACATCATTATCTCCCCTGTAACTGTATTGTATGCCCTTAAATCATTAAAGAAAAGGATTCAACCATCCAATATTTTGCAATACAAAACTTTTTCACTCTAGATAGACAGTTAAATTTGAAATTTTGACTGTCTCGAGATGAGAAAAATTAATTCACACTAGATGCAATGGTAGAGATCTACATCTATAATCAGATAAGGAACTTTCAATGGTATTTATAAATGCATTGTAGACATTGCTATGTTAGATATGATGTTTTGTTTGTACAGAAAATAATATTAGCTCAGTCTGAAACGTTAAGTCAGTATTGTTTTCCTTGATATTAAAACATCATGTCATTTTTAAGAGATGCTGTAATCGTGTTATTTTATAGAAAATACTGTGATAATTTGTGATTATTACAAGAATACAGTAAGGCATATTGCATTGCAACTTGTCAGAAAAAATGTAATAATTTCTTCAAGGGTAATATTTATAACAAATATTTGCATGACATGTCTTTAAAAGTATCGGAATACATGCAAGTACCATATTTATCTACAGAAATATTTTGATTTTGAATACAATATTTAATGTCTATTGATTTGTTGACTTAATATATGGAGTGGGTTTTAAAGTTATCTCATGATAAGTGCAAATTAATCCACATCAAGTGCTAATTGATATATGTTACTAGGGATAATATTCATGCAATATTGCCAATAAATATACTGGACATTAGACCATTCTTATTTACGGTTATAATGAGAATTAATTGATGGATTGATTGTTGTTTGCTTATTGTCCAGTAGGTTGTAAGTTGACCATACACTACAAGAAGGAAATGCTTATTGTCCTGTAGGTTGTAAGTTGACCATACACTACAAGAAGTAAAGGGGAATCTTGTCTTGTTTAAGTTGGAGTTTGATATGAGAGTCCTTGGCCATTCTCGGCAGATTCATTAAGTGCCTGTATGGAAAATTCCATGTAATAGTTATAGGTTATGGTTAGTTCTGAAAACGAGAGGGAGTGTCTTCAGTTACAATCTTAGTAAAGGGCTATAGCCCTGAGATGAGAGGTGGCAGAAAAACTAACTCACGTTTGAAAGACCATAGATAATTTGTGTTAATTGCTATTTCCTAGGCAATGTCAAGGCATTCTTACTCTACTCGACTGAGAAAGATCTATAATTGCTCATATCTATGTCTTTTGAACTCTTGGTCTCATTGGCAATCATACCACATCTCCTTATTAGCTCACCTGGCGCAAAGGGCAAACTGAGCTTTTCTCATCACTTGACGTCCATCATCGTTAAAAATCTTCTCCCCTGAAACTACTTGGGAAAATTTAACCAAACTTGGCCACAATCATAGGGTATTTAGTTTTAAAGATGTGTTCGAAGACCCCATCTTCCAACTAACATGGCTGACATAGTCAAAAATTGAACAAATACAAGTTTTGTCTATTATCTTGAAAAACCACTATAAGTAGAGAAAATCTGACAGGGGCAGAAATGTTCAAAATAATAAGATCTACCTATTGTCCATTTACCTCATAACTGTCAGACAGCAAGGATTTATTGCCCTTTAATGATAAATTTTACCAATTTTAAAAATGTTTATACATCCGCAAAACGTCCGCAAAATTTTTGCGGCGTATAATGTTATGACGTTGTCATCTTCCGAAAGCATTTGGTTTCTAGCCAATAACTTGAGAATAAGTTTATGAAATTGAACCACAAGGTTCCATACCATTAAAGGAAGCAGGTTGGGATTGATTTTTGGGGTTATTGTCCCAACTGTTTAAATAAGAATTAGGGACCAAAAAGGGTCCAAAAACAAGCATTTTTCTAACAACCAAAACATATTGACTTTGTTACACAGTATCGTGTTATTTCACCTAATTTAAATATATCTTTCAATCAGATTAGGTATGTTAAATCTAAAGCTCTATATCAATAGAGTGCCATTCTTTGCATGTTAAACAGTGCTATTCGGGGCCTGAAGATAGAATGTTGCAAGGCTAAATGTCTGCCTCTAAGAAATATACCCTTTTCTCCCATGAGTTCCAGTCCAAATTATCAGTCCCCCTTCCAGAATTTGCTAATCTGATAAGTTCTTGTACAGAATATACATGAAATATTTGCCACTGGATGTTTAGCAATCAATAATCAGTTGATAAAATTTAATTAGGGAAGATAACATTATTTTGTGTAACACAGAAACTCATCAATCTTTGTAAATGTTTAGATTAATTTTACTCTAGGATAAGATCGAATTTAATTAGTGATCAACTTTTTATCAAAATGGCCGGAGGTTTAAGTTGATAATAACGTAATAATGAAATGATTAAAATCTGAAGTTCAAATACATTTTCATCAATATTTTCTTCTATACAATGTCAACAAAGATAATTTATTTGAAATTTTGGTTTAGTTTTTAATCCTTCTGTTCATCTGTCCCTCCATTAGTTTGTTCATTAAAGCTATCTCTGTTACATATAAAACTCAGCATTTGTACTTGTATTAAGCAATGAACTGGTTTTTGGTCCAGAACTTTTCATCTTTTTAAATCATTACCCCTAGAGTACTAAATTCACAGTTAAGCTATTTCAAAAATATGATTTATTAAAGATAAAAAGATTAGCAATTAAAGCATGAATAAAAGTTAATGTTGGGAAAATATCAATGAATCAGCAACCCTATGTTACAAGACATCTAGAGGTCAATATATATATATATATATGTTTTTCAACAATAGACGACTTTCGAATTCGTGCATTTTCCCATAAATTTCCTATGTCACAATGCTTATGTTATTACGTCACAGTAAGAACTGATTGTTTGATGATGTGGTTTTATGCAGAGTGTAACTCATTTATAAAAAAACAACTCAAGATTGGTGTATATACAAGAGCATTCATTAAAATACAACAAAAGTCAACCTTAGTCATTGATGAGGTTTCTGACTAATGGGACAGGCGTATGAACATGTTAAACTAGCTTATTGAGATAACCCTTACCCTTTGTCAATGTTAATTAGTGGGAAAACAAATAGCACAAAAAGGAAAGAACCATAGAAACCAACCAGTACAGGAAAAACACTTTATTTTTTGTAAGAAAATTGATTTTTATTTTTTTACAGGAAATGTGGGAAGATGAAAAGATACATTTAGAAACCTTCAACAAACTCATTGTTCAACACAGAGCCAGACCTACTGTACTGTTACCAATCTGGAATATAGCTGGATTTGCTTTAGGTATCATCAATTAAAAATTGTAGTTCCTTGGTTTTTGGTTTTTGGCTCGCCTGAGACGAAAGTCACGGAAAGCGAGACATAGGGATTGCTTTGATGGTGAAGGCAACAATGATGACAGCGTCAATAATTGTTAAGTTTTCTGCTTAAGTTAGTTTGATAGGAACTTCTTGTGATAGATCAATGATATTTTGTATGAAGTTGCATAAATATCAGTACATATTAGTTTGACGACTTTTTTGAAGCCTTGCCTCCTAGGTCAGGGTCCAGTGACTTTGAATTAATTACCAATTTTCAATGTTAAGTTTTCTGCTTAAGTAAGTTTGATAGGAACTACTTGTGATAAATCAATGATATTTTGTATAAAGTTGCATTACTATTAGTAAAAATCAGTCTGATGACTATTTTAAGGCCCTGCCCCCTAGGTCATGGTCCAGTGACTGAATTAATTAGCAATTTTCAATGTTAAGTTTTCTGCTTAAGTAAGTTTGGTAGGAACTACTTGTGATAGATCAATGATATTTTGTATGCAGTTGCATTATTATCAGTATATATCAGTGTGACGACTATTTTGAGGGCCTATCCCTTAGATCATGGTCCAGTGACTTTCAATTAATTACCAACTTTCAATGTTAAGTTTTCTGCTTTAGTTAGTTTAATAGGAACTACTTACAATTTACTGTCCATACATCTCAATTTGTTTACCATTTCAAGGCCCTGCCAACTAGTTCATGGTCCAGCGACTTTGAATTAATTAGCAATGTTAATGTCCATCGGATTGTTTTTTTCTGAATTTTATGCCAACAGATGAGACATATTTCTGTGTCAACAGTTTATTTATTTAGCACCCACTTCTAACAAAAAGTTCCAGTTGGAAATAACATTTTTATGTATTTTATTAAATAACTGATGAAGTTTAGAAAATAAAATATGTATAAAAGAAATTTACAACTCTAGTAAAGTAACTAACGAATTAATGAAAGATATAACAAATATTGTAAATATTCAAAGAGGGAATAAAAAAGAAACAAAAGAAATTAACATCTGTAATAAAGAAACTATCAATATAAAATAAAAAGATGTGGTATGATTGCCAATGAAACATGTCTGCACCAGAGACCAAATAACATAGAGGTATCAAATTCACTGAAGGAAATAATAAAAATATTTTTGGAAATACCCGAAGTAGGAAAAGCAAATGCACAAAAGAAATTAACAACTCAACTACAGAAACTTACAAAATCACTAAATGAAATATATATATATTTTGAAATAACAGAAGTAGGAACAACAATGTACCACAAAAAAATGAACAACTGAACTAAGAAACCAACAAATACATTTAAAGGAAATATCAAATATACTGAAAGTAAATTACAAATATACTGAAGAAAATAACAAATGGCAAATGAAATATGAGAAGCACTTAAGGAAAACAAATATAAATTCTTTAATAAATAACCAATGGCCAAAAATATGAAAAATACAGAAAAATGATATAAAAAATTAAAGAAAATAGAAATGAAGGACCCCCATTCAGACCCTCATAAATGCATTTACATGTTGATTCACAGTATAGACACCAACTGAAGCTATACATTTATTCTCTATTTACTTACTTGACTTTACAGGGGCAGGATCTGCATTGTTGGGTAAAGAAGGAGCCATGGCATGTACTGTAGCCGTAGAAGCTGTGATAGGGGATCATTATAATAGGTTAGTTTTATAATTCTCAGGTGGTCGCAGTCACTAATTGTTTGTTTTGACCTGTGGGCATTATTTGTTCTGGTCTGTCCATCTGTCAGTTCCATATCAGGTTTAAGTTTTGGTTTAGGGTAGTTTAAGGCCATAACAACTTGAAACTATGGACACATGTTCATTGAAATGAAATGTTTAATATTTATATACCAAATTAGAATTTTGACCTAGATTTGACGGTTCACTGAACATGGAAATATTATAGGTGTAAGTTTGGTTTAACATAAAAATAAAAAGATATGGAATGATTGCCAGTGAGACAACTACTGTAAATTCAGAAATTATTGTGATCATTTGTTATTGCGATTTTGACATCACCAACCAAAATTCAAGATTAATTATTACAATTTCAGGAAAATCTGCATATATATAAATATTTATATGTATCAGATATTAGAACGCCAGTTTTTATCATTGTGATACTCACCTCGTCCCATTATTGACATAAATAAAAGTCTCACAATAATTTCTGAATTTACAGTATCTGGCAGAGACCAAATTATGAAAGCAAATATAGGTCACCGTAAGGATTTCAGCAATAAACTAAGGTAGTTTGGGATCACATCCAACTTAAAACTTAGTACACATGTCCATTGTTAAGTGATCTATGTAATAAATATGCCATTTTAGGGTTGTGAACATGGTTCACTGAACATGGAAATGTGAGTGGAGAATGATGTCTCCTATGCACACATATTCTTGTTAATCGTTTTTTTTTTAAAGATATCTGTTGGATATTTTTGTCACACTGTTTTCAGGGACTACTAAAAAGAATGACTTCATATTTACTCAGAAGCTTGACAGTGATGAGTTGTAACTTGTAAGGACTTTTTAGATCTGTCAGATACCTTTTTGCTGTCTGCTGATACTTTTATTTTTATGCCCCACCACAGCAGAGGGGGCATTAAGTGTGACCTTGTTCATTTGTATGTCCATCAGTTTCCCTTCTCTATTTTTAGTTTGCCTCAACCAAATGTTATGAAACTTATAATCAATGCTTATTACCACAAAACTCTGATTAAGTTTGAATTTAGGTGGTGTCACTTTTACTGTTTTATGAGTTATGTCCCTTTATAATGTTGTATGCAAGCGGGGGCAGCATCATCTCTGTCCAATAAACCCATTCTCCTTTATTTCACTATATTTTAGGAGTAATTAAGCCTGAAATTTTAATGACAGTTATTAAAAACCAGCAATAAATTCAATAAAGCTCAACAGACATATTAATTCATATACCCAGAATATATTATAGATATAGCAAATTGATATTGATTGTTTGTGTTTATTTTTATTCATCTATTCACAGCCAGATCAGAGACTTGATGGAAGATGACCCTGAAAAACATGAAGAATTATTAAAGGTAGAATTTTCTATAATTCATGATTGTTGGTTTTTTGTCTGTCAATCTTTGTTAGCATTGTCTCTGTATAAACATGTGTACTTAACCTGAAATTAAGAAGTCAGAAATCAATCTATGATATGCATTGTCATAATTTGTCACTATATATAGCCATAGTGTACTGAGGTAGTGTTAAATACCCAACAATTGATCGATTAACCATTGCTATCAATATTCAAATTCATTTACCATATAAAAACAGGTGCAGCAATAGGAAATCTTTAGAGAGGCAACCACTTTTTAGGCCCCCGCAGTAGGCAATGGGGGCATTAAGTGTTACCCTTGACTGTCCTTCCATCTGTCCCATTTTTGTTTCCGCACTCTTAACTTCAGTTTTCCTCATTTATATAATTTTATGAAACTTATACACAATGCTAACAACCACAACACGCAGACAAAGTTTGAATTTAGGCAGTAAGTCACTCACTGTTCTAGAGTTATGTTCTTTGGGCAGTAAGTCACTCACCGTTCTAGAGTTATGTACTTTGGGCAGTAAGTCACTCACCGTTCTAGAGTTATGTTCTTTGGGCAGTAAGTCACTCACCGTTCTAGAGTTATGTTCTTTGGGCAGTAAGTCACTCACCGTTCTAGAGTTATGTACTTTGGGCAGTAAGTCACTCACCATTCTAGAGTTATGTTCTTTGGGCAGTAAGTCACTCACCGTTCTAGAGTTATGTACTTTGGGCAGTAAGTCACTCACCGTTCTAGAGTTATGTACTTTGGGCAGTAAGTCACTCACCGTTCTAGAGTTATGTTCTTTGGGCAGTAAGTCACTCACCGTTCTAGAGTTATGTACTTTGGGCAGTAGGTCACTCACCTTTCTAGAGTTATGTTCTTTGGGCAGTAGGTCACTCACCGTTCTAGAGTTATGTTCTTTGGGCAGTAGGTCACTCACCGTTCTACAGTTATGTTCTTTGGGCAGTAAGTCACTCACCGTTCTAGAGTTATGTTCTTTGGGCAGTAAGTCACTCACCGTTCTAGAGTTATGTTCTTTGGGCAGTAAGTCACTTACCGTTCTAGAGTTATGTACTTTGGGCAGTAAGTCACTCACCGTTCTAGAGTTATGTTCTTTGGGCAGTAAGTCACTCACCGTTCTAGAGTTATGTTCTTTGGGCAGTAAGTCACTCACCGTTCTAGAGTTATGTACTTTGGGCAGTAAGTCACTCACCGTTCTAGAGTTATGTTCTTTGGGCAGTAAGTCACTCACTGTTCTAGAGTTATATTCTTTTTTAACTTGGAAAATTGCAAAGCTTGAGCGGGGGCATTTGTGTCCTCAGACACATTCTTCTTTTATTTAGGCATATCTTCCTATAAAAATCATTTTTGTATTTCTTTGTAGCCTTGAAATTCAGTCACTTACCAAAGAGCACTTATATTATAATTTAGGGCACTTTTCTAATTGGTCAGATGATGGCCTTGTACTTTGTAAAAATTCAGCTAGAAATAATCACATTGCCATAAGTTGTAATATTTTGGCCTGGTACTGTTAATTCATTTATTCTTGTGGATTTAGAAAAACTAGTATATTCTTGGATATTTGATTATCAGGTTTTGCCAAAGTATGAATACAAGCCTATAGTAAATCTGTTCTTTGTTGATCTTGAAATTCATGGTTTACCTTTTACCCTGGAAATCTATGAACATTGGTAAATGTATTCTATAAATAGTGATGAATCGAGAGTACTTAAAAAGAACTGTTTTCATGCAAATCACTTAAACGTATCCCAAACTATATGGGTCCAGTGTTATGCATGCAGCTCTCTGTTTCGTCTTTGTATAGTAAACACTTCATGATCGGGACATTAATATAGTAAACTTAAATATAAAAGAAAGATATGCGATAAATGAATTCAGTGTGCACAACACATTTCTGAAACAACCTTCACCAAGTATTACTGGCTAATGATATAATTTTAGGAGAATACATATTGTGTTGGACATTTGTATAATATAACAAGCCAGAGACATACATATGTAATATATTTACCAAAATATAGTTGTGGTGTTAAAGTTACTGAATTTCCTTTGGAAATCAAAAGCTAACTAAAGTTAAAAAATTTTTAAATTCTTGGCTGTTTTTTATGCCCCACCTAGGGACATTATGTTTTTCTGTCTGTGCATCCTTTCATTTGTCCGTTCGTTCGTCCGTCCGTCTGTCCCGCTTCAGGTTAAAGTTTTTGGTCAAGGTAGTTTTTGATGAAATTGAAGTCCAATCAACTTGAAACTTAGTACACATGTTCCTAATGATATGATCATTTTAATTTTTATGCCAAATTAGAGATGTGACCCCAATTTCACGGTCCACTGAACGTAGAAATGATAGTGCGAGTGGGGCATCCATGTACAATGGACACATTCTTGTTTATCAATAAAATGGTTAATTTTGATTGTTACAGATTCCTCCAATCTTGATCGTGCATTTAATTTAAAGTTATCTTCAATAGACATTATTTTTTTTTTAATTTGTTTCAGATTATAAAGAAGTTCCGTGATGATGAACTCCATCACCACGATACAGGACTAGAACATGATGCTGAAAAGGTATATTGTCATTTGAGATAGATTCAAGTAAAGATTGTATCTTTTAAAGCCCAGCTGGTGTTTCACATTAATATTACATACAAAGTGTATAAACTTACTGCAATCAATTCCAATTGATTCCTTTGACCTCATTCGATTCAATTTAAATCAGTCGCAATTGATTCTCTCGTTTTCATCTTAATCTGCTTTGTTTTAAAGCGACATTTATTTTAAATGTATGAATATTTATTATCTTTTAAATTTCTTGCAATCTATTCTGTTGTTCACAGAACAGAGTTGATAGTTATAATTAAGATCAATCTTTTTTAAGATTACCCATTTTTATATATCTAATTAAAAAAATTGATGCACAATACGAACTTGTTTGAAACCAGCTCGAATTCATTTACTACTTTTTCCAATACTTTGGATCCGATTGCATCCATTTTTGGATTTTAGGTCACATATAATGAGAGGAAGATCATTATTGATTTAGGTCACTATGTCAAACGTCTAGGTCATAGGTACTAAAATAGACTGAAGTTTATACAGAAAAGTGGTTTCTGGATATTAAATAAAAAACTACGGTACATATGGGATTTCAACCATACTTGAATTTATGGCCACATATAATAAGAAAACAAACCCTGTTGATTCTTAGGTCACTACATCCAAGGTCAAGGTCATAGTTACAAATATAGACTGAAATTGTGCAGAAAAGGAGTTTCAGAATGCTTAATCAAATACTACATATAGGATTGTAACCTTATTTGTATATATGGTCCCATATTATAATAAAAAGAATCCTGATAGTTTTTTAGGGTCACTATGTCCAAGGTTAGAGTCAAAGGTAAATGAAATACTGCAATAAAATAAATGGATAAATTATCACATAGAATGAGAGGGAGATTTCATTCGATTTTGAGATGACCACATCAAAGTTCAAGGTCAAAGTTACTAAAAAAAGACTAAAATTTCTGCAAAAAAGTAGTTTCCAAGTGCCAAATCAAATACTACATATGCAATTGAAAGGCAACCTTACTTGGATTTATGATGATATATAATAAGAAGAAGGTCCTTATTGATTTTTTTAGTCACCAAGTCTAAGGCCAAGGTCATAGTTACTAAAAATAGATTTCTTTAACACATTATTTCTGTCTGAACTCATTACTGAAAAACAAATCTTAAAGTAAACAGAAAAACTATGCCACCAGGTCATATTAAGCTTTTACCCTTCATATGGGGGCATGGGGTAATTGAGCTTGCTCACTTAAAGTTCTTTAATATAAGATAGTCCCCGACCACGACTAAATCGAATTTTCAGATGTTGACAGTGGTAGTATCATGTGAAAAATTGACAGTTTTGTCATCAAAATTCAAAAGCAATTCCATTTTGATTGGACATCATATATTTTGATGGGGTAAGATACACGTAATTCTGTATGTAACTCCAGATGTCATTTATCAAAATATTCATTTAACAGCACTATGTAGCAAAATTTGAATTAAGATAGGAATAACTGTAGTTTATTTTTATACTTGCCAATGTAATTTAGATTTTACAGTTTTAATTTGCAAATATCTTGTTTTTCAACTCTACTAACAGTAAAAACAATTGATGATGGCTAGTATAGAAATACAGTACAGTTATTCCTTGTTTGTCCTTTCCAGTTTTCACATAGTATGGAAAGAATCCTCTGTTGTTTTTTTTTTTAATTAATATTGTTTTATTTTCTTATTTACAGGCACCTTTTTATCAAGCACTATCACAAGTTATAAAAATAGGATGTAAAGGAGCTATATGGATCTCAGAGAAGATATGATCATGTGACTTTAAAGAACATATACGATCATGGGATTTTAGATTTAGATATATATGATCATGTGACTTAAGAGAATATTAGGTCATGTGACTATAGACAGTATGTATGATCATGTGACTCCAGTGAAGTCTAGAAAGAACACACTTTTTTGTTATTGTTAAGCTATTTTTATATCTGCAAGATCATGAATTATTGAGCAGCTGAATAGGTGTTAGATTTGTGAACGAAAAAGTGAAATTCTATACATGTATGTATCTATGATGTTTTACTTATAAATATTTTATTGGTTTTTACTTAAATTCTGTTTTTAACTTTGTAAGAATCTGGGACTGAAAAGTGTCATGCTTATCTCCCCTTTGTAACAAATGTATGTAGAAGCATCATGTTAATGATTATCCTTTTCAGTAAATGAAGAAGTCTAGCAGATATAACCATCAAATAAAATATGTATAACAGCGTCTTAGGGTTAGAGTTCAGCTTAGGATTGATTGAATTTTTTTCATAATGTTAAAAGATAGGGTACGTAGGAGCTAGTGATATAATAAGGATGATGATGTATGGCTGTTTTAACGTCCAGCGGTAAATAACATGCATATTCAGGACAATAACATGTTAGTGTAATATGAATATTTCCCCTGATTTGTACTAGACTGACATGCTAAGCTGGATTTTTAATGTGCTAGTTCACAAGGTTACAGTCTGCAGAAACCATACCCAGACACATTATTCTGACTCCGAGCCAACCAGTCTTTGTTCTTACTTCTTAATGCTGCGTGCTTAGGGTAGAAGCAGCAAATATTTTAAAGTCTTTGGTTTGAGACAGCAGGGGAACCCATGACCTCCCGCTCTATAGGGGAGCACTTTCACGAGACCACTGAGGTGATATAAAGAGTATTCCCCTATATGGTCAGGAGCTCAAAAAGTACATTTTGAAAGACATGAAAAACAGATTTGAACAACTTTTTTGATACTTTTTAAAAAGATCGCAAGTTGGAGGACTGCACTGGTTGGAAATTAAATGATTTAGAAACAAAATGGTTTTTAAAGTCATTACTGACAAACTTCAACCTCAATATAAAGTATTGAGAGATGGAGTTTTGGGTGTATAGTTTTAAAGGCCTGTATCAACCTCAATATAAAGTATTCAGAGATGGAGTTTTGGGTGTATAGTTTTAAAGGCCTGTATCAACCTCAATATAAAGTATTCAGAGATGGAGTTTTGGGTGTATAGTTTTAAAGGCCTGTATCAACCTCAATATAAAGTATTCAGAGATGGAGTTTTGGGTGTATAGTTTTAAAGGCCTGTATAGTGGTATTCCTTTTCCTTATGTCTGTTCCTCTTACACATCCTGCTTCAACAAATACTTGTCAAATTTTGGCAGATCAACAAGACTTCGTAATTGTTTAATTCATTAATGATTGCTGAATTCCAGTAGTAATTTTACATGCATATTCAGAACCAGAACGTATAAGTGTCTGTGATATGAATATACTCTGCTTTGTATTTGGGAACATGTTGAGCTGGAATTTTAGTTGGCAACCTCATAAGGTAATGGATCATGATGGATTGATGTTTAATGTCCAGAAGCTTATACCACATGCATAACAGAACGGGATATTTTGGCTCCAAGCTGACCAGTTTTTGCTTTTACTCCTAAATGCTTCCTTTGCTTAAGAGGCAGCAAATACTAATTTTCAAGACTTTTGTTGGACCTGGCTGGTAATCAAACACTAGGGCTCTAGCTGTTGAGGCCAGTACTCTACCACGAGACCATCTAAGCTGTCCATAAGGTAATAGATAATGGGAAGATATCACTTTACCTGGACACATTATTTTAAGTCAGTCAAAAGTCTTTGCTTTTAAATCATTCTTACAGCAAATATCAATCCGTGAAGTCTTTGTAAGGAACATAAGCAGGATCAAACCAATTACTTCTCCTGCACTTGAGACAAGTACCTTGCATAAATATATGGAGGTAGTTATAAAGACAATAAGGAGTGGCTTTAATGTCAAAACATCAATCCAAATTAAAAAGGAGGGTAGAGAAAACTTAAAAGACTGATTTAACCTCGCCACACTTCATTGTAAAACCTATTTTAAGAGACCACTTAAGGAAGAGTTAAAAAGTCATCTCATAAACCAGGTGGTCTTTTAATACAGGTTCAATCTACATGAAATGCACTAAAGAAGAACCTAAAATTAATGGTCTTATTACACAGGCTTTTGCATAATAACAGGTGGTCTCTAAGTAAGGTTTGACTGCACTTGTGTCAAATATGAAACTTCATCAGTGATGGTCTCTAGTTTATTTTTGTCCTTTATACAGTTTTAAGTTTTGCTGACGAATTTTTAGAAGTCTATGATAAATGTATTCACTTATTTTTGTAGTTTTGGGGTCATGAAGAGCTTGGCATATGGTTAATACTTGTCTATTGTTGAGATGGTATGTTAACCTCTAGATGTCTTTTGTAGTTTTTTGTGGTATTTGGGTTGCTGTCTCATAGATGTATATCCCAATCTCTTTTCATTTAAACATTTTTTTTTTTGATGACTGTCATGTTCTTTTGTTCAGTTTGATGTAGACAAAAGTGGACAAACCTATCATGCTACAGAGGCACAAACCTTATGCTGAAAACTAAACCTGACCACTGAAGATTGCTACATATATTTAGTGGCAAATGTTCCCTTATCATTTATTATAGTGTTATTAAATACTATTATTACATTGGTTGCAATGAATTACCATGATTTCCCAGTGAAATAAAAATCAGATAATTACACATGTGAAATAAACTTGATAATTTCAATCCTCTGACGTCATACAACAATACATGTTGTCAAGAAGCTGTTGATGACATTGCATCAAAGCAAATTGTCAATGCATATAAATAGATATAGTTCTTTGCATTTTCCGCTTACTAATCTTTAAAAATATTCAACTGGTGACCGAACAACACTGCTAATTAACTCATGCGCATATCCGTTTGTGAATTAATGTGTTGTTCAGTCACTCGTTGAATATTTTTATATATTTAAATCTCGATTAGTTATTCTATAATTCTGGAATTGTGAAATATTACCTTGGCAATTTTGGAATAAGGAAAATAGGTCATTCATTCTGGAGTGTCTTAAATCACATTGGTATTTTTTCAATGGTATCAATACATTGTTGATTTTACAATTTAACACTTCAACTGAGCATTACTTCCCAAATAATAATCAATTGGTTCTAAATCGCCGAAGATATTGCTTACATAATCCTTTGATATAAATTTCATTAAAATCTGGTGAAAACTGTTATCCTGACCGCACTTAAGACTGATGTACATCAGCATTTTTATATCCTCAAAGAGGTCAAGGTTATGCGATATATGTCAGATTGACATACTCCTCAAAGGAATCCATATATCAAATATTACTGATAATATTATAGTTACTGAGGCAAATACCTTACTCTTAAAACAACATCACTGCAGTAATGAGAGTATTATGTTAAGGCCATATGACAGAGGTTAGATTAACATACATCTTTCAAGGTATCCATTTTCCAAAACCATTGAGGACTTTATATGGTTACACATATTCCAATTATTTATTATATGACACATAATATAAAGCATTTTGTACCATTAAAAGATTTTTATTACAAAGTTAATGTAATGACAAGTTGATTCCCAAATGTATAAATATGACCATGCATATAAATAAATATCATATAAGGGTAGAAAATCTTTTCAATATTAAATTTCCCCAAATTAAAAGGCATATCTTTCTGATTACCCCTATTTTTTCTTAACCCCTATTTTTCTATTTTTTCTAGTATAGAAAATGGTTTACAGGTACACAAAATTTTTTGCATAAACAAAAAAATTGAGAATGGTAATGGGGAATGTGTCAAAGAGACAATAACCCAACCAAAGAGCAGAAAACAGCTGAAGGCCACCAATGGGTTTTCAACACAGCGAGAAAATCCCGCACCCTGAGGCAGGCTTCAGCTGGCCCCTAAACAAAAATGTGTACTAGTTCAATGAAAACATTTATTGCTGGTTCATCACTATATCAAACGATCACATATTAACCAGAAATGGTATTCTATCTAAAAAGTGGTTTTATTGAAAGTTAATTTTCATTCTGTATACAAAAATAATCTGGGTTCCAGAGGTCACTGCCATGCCAAAAGTCTAAAATCAGCATTAGGCAATTTAAAAACATCGACAAAAATCTTAAAAAACATAAATTACTCCTTTAAGTCGTGAACAATTCAGTATAACTTGGAACCAATGTAAGTCAAATATTTTCAGAAAAGAGCTGTTAGACGAAAGGAAAGCCATTTTTTTTTAACTTGAGTTAAATATGAGGTAACTAAGCTTGGTAGGTAGAATTAAATACATGGATTTCTAATTAAGTATGCCACAGTCATTTACAACATAAAACAAGTAATGAACAACAAAACTTCTCATAAAATAGCATTGAAATCACTTAAACAGCTACCTACTAAAACTAAAGTAATCTAGTCCCTCTTATTAAATTACATATAACTAAAACCTCTCAAAAAATGAATTAAATACTTATGTCAAAACAATACCTATGCTGTTTGTGTGATATATGTTAACAGTATCCAACTAACATTATTTGTCATATTTTAGGATGTATTTTTAAACTTTTGTTAAATGTGACAGTTTTGGCAAAATGTGATGTTTCATGCTGGATGTAAAAATAAGGAAAAGATTGCACTTGAATTAATATTTACATGTAATAATAATGATAAAAATTTTGGAAATCGTGATGACCATTGATTCTAAAAATCCTGAGTAAAAAATTTGTCTAAACTGAATTGCTATCTGACAACACATTAGTAGCAGGGCTTCCAAAACGGTCATATATTCCGGACTTGACCGAAATTTATATAAAAAGTCCGGCTGCTCTCAGCCTCAAACGGTCAAATATCATAGGTTTGCCACTTTTTGTTATTCAAGGCATTTTCATAAAACGGTCATTTCACTTTTTTTTACCAACTATCGATCGGTAAAAATGTCCGTTTGGGCATTATAGTTTATAATTGTGGCAATCTATTTCACAAAGATATTTTGGTCATATTTGGGTTTAATTAAACAGATGCAGCATATTTCATACTTTGAAGTGTCTCAGTTAGTCTACTCCTCTGGGTACACAAATGCACGGCTTGGTACATCAATAAAAAGTAGAAAAAACATTTGTTCTTTTATTTAAAAAACAACAAGCTGTCAAACAATTATCCCTTCAATAAGTAATATTGAAGCCATAAATCATTCACTGATTACAGGTCATTACCTTTGATGAGAGACCTTAGCTTGTCTTAATCAATAGAATTGATGTTCATAACAATGACCATAAAGGTGATCAGGTAAACGAGGTCAAACATGTAAGCGTGTATGGAACAACATCCTATTTAATTATGCTTTGTAGATATTATTGTACATGAACATTCAGTTTTAAAAAAGTATCCTTAGATTTTAAAATTATTCTTCAAATAAGAATATCTATAAATGAATTCGAATTTGTATGATATTCATTATTATATTTAAAAACACTGTACATCGTGTTAAATACTGGGGTACGCTAAAGGGTGTTCAAAGTTATTTTCTTATTTTCAGCGGGTTGCATCTGATTAATTTAGTCTAAAAGATTGAAATTATAAGAAATACGTTAATAAATATGATTTGATGAAAAATTTGAAAAGGTTTTAAACGAATAATCGTCAGAACCACGTTGTTTGAACTAGTACACGTGTGCGCATGTGTCTATTGTCCGCTGGTGGGAAATTTAATTATGCATCCTAATTCTTCAATACTGCTAAAATTATCATTGATACCTTTATCTAACGTTCATTTCGAGTATTTTCTTGAAGAAATAACTGGAAAAGGCTACTTAACTAAATCGTAAACTTACACGGATATTACGTATCCGTCTCTGATCCGTGATTTACCATTGTCAAGTCAACATCCGGCATTAGGAAAATGTGATTTTAAAAACGAAAGTAAAGCTTTTGACAGCGTTATTTTGCACAAATAAAAGAGTCTAAAGCGGAATTAGGCATAATTAGTACGCTGATGTTGCACACTTCAAATGCTGCACTTTCAATTTAACACTTTACGTCAGAACATCGAATTTATATTAAAGTAAAGTTTAATATCGTTGTAATGTCAATCATTGGTTATATCATATATGATGGCCAACTGATTATCATAGTTGCCTAATTTACTAAGTCTAAAGAGATTTAAAATCGGGATAAGATATGAAATGTCCGGCTGGCTCAAATTTTTTTTGGAAGCCCTGATTAGTAGTACGGTTCATTTATCAAAGCACTTCTTACATTCCTTAAAAACTAAAACATTAAATCATTCAAGCCCATTCAGGCTCCTAATACCTTTTCAGCAAATTTAAAGATGTCTTTAGTAGGAGAGCAGAGATCCATGGAACTCTAAACGAGACTGGTCAACAAGAACAACTCCTTCAATATTTGTTTTTTATGTTGTGTAGCAGTATACATAGATAGTAAATCTCACATAAACATGTTCAAAAATACCTTTAGTAATTGTTCCATTATACACTTGATACAAGTATAATAATTTATAAATACACAAATCAAATTAAAAATTTTCACTTACAATAAGCAGAAAATTAAAGGATTTCTACACCACAGTAATAAAAAACAAAATGTCACCAAAAATAACTCTGGTAAACTAAGTATATCAAGCAATAAAAAAAAATTTTGATTAACAAATTACTAAACAATTCTTTAAAGACAACTATATGGCTTCCTTCTTTTACAACATGGATATAAAGAAACTTACAACAGTCATGTGACATAATTTAACAAAGAAATGAAAATTTTATAACATATTTTCATATAGAACAACATTTTTTCACAAACATTTTCTCATGAAATTTTTAAATTGATGTCCAATCGATTTTTATAGTAATTAGAATACGGTTGTCTTAGAAATGAACAATCACATGTGAAAAACAGTATATTAAGTTAGGTTTTGAAAAGATTTTTCATCATTAATTATAATACATATTGAACACAAACTATATTATATTTTTATGAAATGAAATCTTTTTTGTTCGTTTTAGATGATTTTTCATATTTTGTGGTTTTGATAAATTCAATGTAACAAAAAGGATTAATCAGGAACAAACAATACTAATTTATATAATAAAATTGTTCACATACACAAATATATATTATTTAGATCCACTTATTTACAATAAAAATTTGAATAAATTAAAAATAAATTTTAGAAGTTAAGATTTGTTTTCTTTTCCAATCCTTTCCATATGTGCTTGCATAATTTTCAATTCTTTTTCTTCCTTCTTCTTGTTTCTTGCTTCATAATGTAACCTGAAAAAAAGTATAAAGATTAATGTATGTTTACTAATACTGGCACTACTGCTATTTAACCAATACTAGCAAGATATCAACAGACAATTACACAGTAAGGCAAAAAAATAAAAGATCAAAAATTTAATTTTTTAATATAATTGATATTTCCAAGCGCATAACTCCTGTTGAAATAGTTGATTGGCACTGATTTGCAAACTCATTGATGACATAACTGATATAAGACATATAAACCTTGATAAAAATTTCATTAATGACAGGAAATGTAGGTTTGTATATTTTAAAACTTGTTCCCTATGCCGGCATCTGTGGTGACGTGTTCGATTTTACTAAACGTAATCTATTCATCAATGGTAAATTATCAAGTCAGGGCTTTTGTTACCACAAATCTTTTTTCTTAAATCTTTCATAGATACAAATATTTGGTTTGGCTGTAATTTTTGATAGAATTCTTTTAAATAAGAATGTGTCCATAGTACACGGATGCCCCACTCTCACTATCATTTTCTATGTTCAGTGGAACGTGAAATTGGAGTCAAAACTCTAATTTGGCATTAAAATTAGAAAGATCATATCATAGGGAACATTTGTACTAAGTTTCAAGTTGATTGGACTTCAACTTCATCAAAAACTACCTTGACCAAAAACTTTAACCTGAAGCAGGACAGACAATTATCTCTATAATCTTCTGAGTTGTCATATCATTGACTCCATACTTACCTATGAGAAATGATCCTCTCTATAATCTTCTGATTTGTCATATTATTGACTCCATACTTACATATGAGAAATGATCCTCTCTATAATCTTCTGATTTGTCATATTATTGACTCCATACTTACATATGAGAAATGATTCTCTCTATAATCTTCTGATTTGTCATATTATTGACTCCATACTTACATATGAGAAGTGATTCTCTCTATAATCTTCTGAGTTGTCATATCATTGACTCCATACTGACATATGAGAAATAATTCTCTCTATAATCTTCTGATTTGTCATATCATTGACCTCGTACTTACCTATGGGAAATGATTCTCTCTATAATCTTCTGAGTTGTCATATCATTTACCCCATACTTACCAATGAGAAATGATTCTCTCTATAATTCTCTGAGTTGTCATATAATTGACTTTATACTTACCTATGGGAAATGATTCTCTCTATAATCTTCTGAGTTGTCATATCATTTACCCCATACTTACCAATGAGAAATGATTCTCTCTATAATCTTCTGAGTTGTCATATAATTGACTTTATACTTACCTATGGGAAATGATTCTCTCTATAATCCTCTGAGTTGTCATATCATTTACCCCATACTTACCAATGAGAAATGATTCTCTCTATAATCTTCTGAGTTGTCATATCATTGACCTCGTACTTACCTATGGGAAATGATTCTCTCTATAATCTTCTGAGTTGTCATATCATTTACCCCATACTTACCAATGAGAAATGATTCTCTCTATAATCCTCTGAGTTGTCATATCATTGACCCCATACTTACCTATGAGAAATGATTCTCTCTATAATCTTCTGAGTTGTCATATCATTGTTACTAGCTATAGTTTTAAATTTCCCTCTTCTTTTAGGTTCCTGAAATAAAGTGCATACATTTAATGTTAAACTATCAAGATATCAGTCATGTCATATATAAAGTGAATACATATACAATTAATATTAAAACTATCAAGATATCAGTCTCACAGGTCATTCATGTCTTCCAAATCACACAATTTAATTATTCAAAGTTTATTTTGTGTCTCAAATGAATGAAACAGCTACAAAAGTTTTAAATACTCATCACTTTGTAATATGTGCAAAAGTTTGCTTTTTTCAGTTACCAGTAATTTGACCACAAAAAAATAATCCAAATTTGACTGTCAACTTTATCTGCTTTAGTCATAAACTGTATGATGATAAGATTTCCGGAATTCTATAACAAATTCATTAATCATGTGGATTCATTATTATCATGGGATACCAATTTCTGTGAATTCTTGGTCAACACTCAACCACAAATTTAGATGTTCAACAAAGTAAAAAATTTCCATATCCTTGTTTACAGACTTTGGAAAATCCACAAAATCAATGTCCACAAAAATACAATTGTTCCTCAATCCACAAAAATAAATGAATCCACAGTATTTGATAATTTGATAAACAGCAAATGATTTGATTGTCCTTGACTCTTCACTCGTCCATATTTAATAAGCAGTAAAATTTTGTTTGATGCTCTCAGATTTTCCCACTATAACATGTGGCCTAAGTGTTTTTAAAATTTCCATTTTACATTTTCCAATAGGTGATTTTTTAAAGCCCGCAAGCAAGGCCTGATTGTTGTGATGCCAAATAAGGTGATACAAAAAACAAGTTTTTGAGGAACCTCAGAAATGAAAATATTTGACAAAATTAATATCAATGGAAAAAAAATCCTATCAATGCATCAAGTGGAATTTGATGTTCTTCACGCTTGGCTAAATTATAGCATGTGTGTAATAAGAATGGTTGAATATACCACAAACAGGTATACAGTAACAAGATTAACTTACAGCGAATGGATCGGACCCATCTACATCATCCATAATAGGTGTGGCACCATGACAAACCAAATCTACCTGTCAAAAGAAAAAAAAACCCATATTAAATGATATTGTTACCATACTTAATCTCGGGTATCTTAATTTAGTGCTTTTGTTGTCACTGAAAATTTGCCACCTTCTTCCCAGTCTTACATGCTAAAGTATACATTGTTTCATTGATTTGGTTTTTCTAGATCACATATTTCATCAGAAAGTTCTAAAAAAAACAGGGGAAACTAACTCTATAGAGGTAATCCTTGAGATTGTCTCAAAAATAAATCTACAGAAACCAGTCCTTTGATCAAAAAATAATTATAAATGTATTGAATATGAATGAGATTTTTGCCCAAATCTTAGAATCGAAAGGACTACAGGTAATCTCATTGTTTGTACACAAAATGATAATAAAGTTACGTCATTGGTTCAATTGCCATTGTTTAAACATTTTAAACTAATCACAAAATTTGGGTGTATGCTTTTGAAAATATTATCCAGAATGCATTAGTTTCTGAAAAGGCGAAACAAAAAATAGGTTAAAAATATGACATTTTCTTCCTTTTGTTGTGGTATTGGTCAACAAAGCAGCAAACAACGTGGTAGTAATAGGACATAAAATACTAGAAAGTTCTTATTAAGAAAGAAATTATAAATCATTCTACGTGCCAGGCCATACTCTTTTGTATATCATCTATCTCACCTTGAAATGATCCATAAGGTCTGAAGTAACAGCATAAGGAGCACCAATTACAACTTCATTTACATACTAAAATCAAAAAACAATACTGTCAATTCAAAATTTAAAACATGTGTTTATTTCTTGGAATCTTTGACAAATGACAATAATGCCAGATAAATTAATGTGATGTTTGTTTATGATGTTGTTGAATACTACTAAAAAAATAAAATCTGGGACTTAAGGTATGGGTACAATAGTAAAAGTACAGCAATTTAAGAAAGTATACAGAATGATAAAAATCATTATAGAGATAAAAGTCAGATTCATAAAAAGAAATACCATTAAACTACACTAATACCAATATATAGTGCTTTGGAAGTATGCAGAGTAAATTCAAAACAAGTTTTTTTTAACAAACAATTGTGTTTTTTTTTGTTTTAAAACTAGTTGTTTATTCTTCTTACTAATATAATGAGTTACTGTGGATTCATTATTATTCATTGGATACCAATTTTCGTGGATTTCGTGGGTACAGGTAAACCACGAATTTAAATGTTCAATGAATTACACATTTTCTATAAGGTTGTATGCAGGCTTTGGCAAAACCACAAAATCAAGTATCCACGAAAATGCAAGTTTCCTCAATCCACGAAAATTGGTACCCACGAAAATAAATGAATCCACAGTACTCTATCTCCAACTGGTTTTTACAGTTTGTTCATGTTTTGCTGTTTCACTAATGTCCAAAGTTATGGGATTTTTGAGTGCTCACAAACATGTTTAACTGCCACATGCCTGTCCCAAGTCAGGAGCCTGTAATTCAGTGGTTGTTGTTACTGCTGTCTGTCATATCTTTACTTTGTTAGTTATTTTGTTATATATCCGTCTGCTGGTTTTCTTGTTTGAATTGTTCCACATATTGTCATCTCAAGACCGTTAATGCTAATTATACAGTATGAACTTGCTCATTGTTGAAGGTGCTATAGTTGCTTAATCCAAGTCATTTGGACTATGGTGTAAAGATGCCTTATTGGCAATCATACCACATCTCATCATTGTTATAATGATTTTCAAAACCTAAAACCATTTCATGTGGGTATATAAAAAATAATGGTTTGAAATTGCCTTTGCACAAAAAATGTAAATCTGCAATGAAATAGAAATATCTATAATATTTATACTTACCCTGCATGCTAAAACACTGAGAACTCTTTCATGAAGGTTCATAATAGGAAAATTAGAACCTTTATATCTGTTGACAACCTGTCAAATAAAACAATCAACATAAAATTTTCTTGAAACTTAAACAGAAATACATTTCCCTATTACTAACATGACTAACACAAACTATAACATGAATTTTGTAGGAGGTTAGCTTATCAGTGAAGTTCATTAGAATTTCATTTCACCTCTGAAAAAAATGGATCTGTGAGCTACTGCTCACTAATGATACCCCCCGCCCCAGTAAAAGTATAAGGTAAACAGGAAGTTGTTGAGTGATAAATCTGAAGTATAGCTGACTCATATAAACCCTGAAACCAAATTTCAGAAATCCTTGTAATGTAGTTCCTGAGAAAGATGCGAGGAAAAATATTAATCTGATGGACTGACAGACTGAGGGATGGACTGACTGACAGACAGAGGTAAAACAGTATACCCCCACCTTTTTAAAGAGGGGTATAATTATTTTTTTTTGCTGTATAATGTTCTTCAAAAATCACATTGGTGATCTCAGGAGCCCTAGAACCTGATAAATCCATCAACTATTATTATCAAAATTGGAAACCCTATTCAAACAGAAAAGGTTTGCAACAAAAGTTCAATTGATTTTTTAATTAGTGTCTGTCTTATGGATTTTCAAAGTGGTCATTATCTTGTATTTCTGTAAAGAGTGGTCAGTATCATGTATTTCACAAAAAGTGTATGGGTTTCAACCAAAATTTACAGACAAAGGAAAGTATAGGATTAATCCTTTGGGTGTCTATCATGTACAAGATTAAGTATGGTGTCGTGACTTTAAATACTTACAGGATCTGTATGCAGACCTACAATAATAAAATCTCCCTCTTTGGATACCTTCTCTAGAAAATCTACAAATCCAACATCTATGTAAAGTTAAGGAGAAATCTTTGATATTGTCATTTTTGCAAATCACTCAAAAATAGTTTAATGAAGAAATTAATATAGAATTTGTAAATATATTAAACTCATGTCTACTAAGTAGTAAACCAATTTTCATGAAACTCAATGTTAATGCTCATTTAAAAAAAAAAAACACACACACAAAATTTCAAACCGAAACCATAAAACTTATTGACAAATTTTCATGGAAATAAAAACAATTCCTTTGTTAAAAAAATCTTGCTGTCTTTAAGAGTATCAGGTGCTGAAACAACATTTGGTCTATAATCTATAAAAATTCACATCCACAAATACAAGAATATTTGTAAAACACCTTATGATACATAAGTCAAGCCTAGTTTCCTATTTTGATAGATGATGAAATATAGTCAATGCCTCATATTCACTTTTCAAAATCATTTGAAATGTAATTTTCTATAAGACATGTTTCTGCTATAGACCTTAATCACAATTAAGTTCTTAATCTCCATGAAACCATATTTATCAGAATGTTTGCCCTCTGTAAAACTGCATATGTTGAAAATCCAATTGAAATGGACAGTTAAGTTCACAGAGATTTTTTGTAGCTTTTAAAATATGAATGAGGCATAAGACAGAAAGCTCTAATAAGCTAGAACCTCTCTGACCTTTATACAATAAACAACCTACTGATGATTCAAAAAGCTGACTGCAAACATTCTTTATTTTAAACATGCAAAAAGAGTGACTCTCTCCCAATATCAAGCTTAAATTTAACAACCAGATTCACCAGTAAAATAAATAAAAGATGCATGGTCTTATTAGATATGAACTTAAACTTGCTGGATTAATTTTCTAACTCTGCAGAATAGGTATAATTATAAAGGATACGGAAAAGATCAAATGCTCCTGCTACATAAACAATCTTATCTCCAGGATTAGGTGACTTTCCATCTGCAAACTGTATAATTTTGTTTGAAGTAGGTAGAAATTGTGAAACTCCTGTATATGGACTTTTTGCTGTACTACACTGAAAAGAAAATATATATATATATATATCAAAAAAATGCATCCACCTCAAGTCTGCTTTGTCAAAATCCCAATGTACCAGAAAAATGAAACATGCATTCCATTAAGATTCCTTCAAAACATTAGTCTGTGACAAATATAATACATTTCATGTCGAGTATTTTGCTCAAATATGTTACATGCATGAATTATCTCCCCTCTTAAAAATATTCTGCAGTGAATATTATGTAGAACTGTTTACACCAGTGAGCTTTATAAAAAATGTAAACAATGTAACATTGCTTAAAAGCACTGAAAGTCAATATTATATAACCTGGTTGGTAACAATTAAGATCTTATAATTTAACCTATATCATAGTTTATTTATAATGTATGAAGCTTATTTTGTCACAAATTTCTGACAATTTTATATTTTTTGTGACTAAAAGGTATTTTTCAATATGACATTAATCAATTACTACAAAAGGACATTTGGAATTCAACATACCATCTTCAACAATAGGCAAGGGTCTATACAATTAGTTAAGCTGATTTAATCAGAAAAGTCAGAAGTATTTCACTGCCATTTTTGTATATTTTTGATATGCAAAAGAAATGTTTACTTTCTGGCTGTAAAATGTTTGCATAAAAGCGTAGTGCTGTATAATATGACAAAATCTTTATAAAGCATTGAAATAACACTATGAAATTAATAACAAATAGTTTTGAATGAAAGTGTCAAAATCAGCTATATTTATAGTACTTTAAAGTATATATTAAGTGCTATCAATGTTTATATGATATACTTATTTACACATATAACAATATACATATATCAATACTTATATTAAATTTTCACAGTGGAACCAATTCATTGGTTGACCAATTTTCATTGCAATTGGTCGATTCTAAGATTTACATGGGGTTTTTTTTAAATAAAAATTGTTTGCTGCTGGATTCCAACTCGCTCAAGTAGAACAGCTTTATTTAGGTAACTTTACAAAATATTTATCTGATTTTTTTTAGATAAAAACTGCTGCCAGTTTCAAAAAAAATTTTTGAAAAATTGAATTGAATGGACCACATGCAAGAAAATTAGTTTAGAAAAAAGTGGCCTCTGGTGTAAGATTGGTGCAAAGAAAGACTTAAGTAATTTTAAAAACTTCCTGTCTGGCTTACAATCTTAAATTTGATTTTAAAAAGAAACAGAAAAAAAAACTTTGATTATTATTGACTTGGTAGACTTTTCAGTTACTGTAAAAATGCATGTTTCAGTTCTAACTCTATTTATAACAAAGAAATAAAATCTAAACACATCTATTATGAGCATCTGCTATTACAATATACCAGAAAACTATAACAGATATCTACATTTAGAGATACAACCATGCTAGTCTATTTTTCTACTCTTAAATTTCAAAAGCATACAAAATATATGTTTTTTATCCATAAGTTTAGACCCAGTGGTATACAGTCCATAACAATTTAATTGTGTTCAAAGATTGCTTTCTCATTGTCAAGTTTTGCACACAAAATTTATTTGTATTTAAATCTTTATAAAAAATTAACTCTAGATATTTACACAGGGTATAATTTTATGATTTGATAAAACTTAGACTTGATATAAATATAATTTCACTCAAGCTGCTGATTTTTCCGTAATTCTAAACAGCCAATACTATGAATTTGGAACAAAAAACTCAAAAAATTGTGGCAAAAGCAAAATAAGATATTCAGCCATATATAGTCCGCATTTGTGTATAATCCGCATTCCCTTTTTTATCCTCAAAGCTCATGAGATCTCGTACACACCTGTACTTTGAAATGATACAACAATGAAGGAAAAAACATCTTTAGAGTGTACAGTACAATGCAATAAGACTTAACATAAAACAATTGAATAATACTGCCTTATACAAAGAGTTTTTTGCAAACAACTTAGTATACACTTGTCACTGTTTCAACAGTATTTGTTGCAATTAAGAAGACAAAATATGAATCCCAGAAAGAATATTATACATATTCCAAAAACTTGCAATCAAATATATGTGCATCATTTACTTCTGGAGTATTCTTGCTCAATACACAATAACTCAGAAAAATAAGTGTCACATACTTTTTACACATGCTTACAATGATTCAGTGTGATGTTCTCTTCAATAAAATGTTATCAACTGTATAAATCTATCTTTATCATTTTGACAATTTCTTTCTTTTAAGAAATAATTTAGAAACGTAAGCATCTAAATCAATCTTGTTTACATCAATTATCAGTAGAAGATTTTAAATCAGCTATGATTAGCAATTCACTTGTTTAGCCTAAGATGCAACAGTTGGCAATGGTAGGTCATTATAGAAAATATCTTACCCACACTCTAAGCTGGTAGACCAAAAGTCATAAAATAATTTTTTAAATCAGTTATGATTCACATTAAATTGATTTAGCTCAGATGAAAAAGTTATCTTTGGTTAGCCAAATGGGAAATATCTTTATCCAACTTAAGCTTATCTTTTAATCTTTTAATCTTACAGTGTCCCCCCCTACAAAGCCAAGGCCTATAATACCACAGTACCATGATGATATATGAATAGATTTTATAATAGAATGTTTAATAATGTGGTGCTCTAATTTTTGGGAAGCAGTGCAAATCCTATGGAGCCATTTGATAGTACAGGGGACAACACTAATCCATATTCACAGAACAAGTTTTGAATAAAAAATGATTCATTTTTAATTGGCAAACTTCTAATGTAAAGTTCTTTCTTGGTTTAATAGCAATTTCTGATTTGATTTAGAAGAAGTAATTCATTATCATGATTATAAGAGATATCAACTCAAGGTATTAGGTTAATAACAATTCTAACATGACGTTCTTCACATGCTTTGAGTACACACCCGTGGTAAAATAGGAATATATTGTTTGGGCTGTTCCGATCTTACTCCCGGGTCATATGTTTTTTTTATGAATGAGCTACCCGACATCATAGAATGATGACGTAAGAATATAAGCATTTTACGGGAAAATACACACTTGTGAAATCGAAAATCATCACAACAAGGAAACATAAACAAACGATGCTTAAATGTGTTATATAAGCCATATTTTGTATACATATAAGACATATAAGTTCAATTATCATTTAGATTCATCCAAACCTATCTAAATATGTTATTGTAAATAGTTTAAGCATGTCACTTATTCAGTTTGCTCTGTTCTTTAACATCAATTTAATAGTGCGTTTATTTATGGGAACAGCAAATAATGCCTTCACCTAGAACGCTCAGATCCAAAACAATTGCTGTATTTGTCCTATTAGAATCGAAATAATTCATGGGGGCTTGAATATATCCTCAAATCCTGAAAAATAATTTTAAAGGGAGATGACTTTGTGTTATTAAAAATTAGCAAAAAGATAAATGCAATAATACACTATTAAATTCCACAGAATGCTTGAGAGGAAGGCTGGTGAAATAGATTATGGGTAGAAATACTCTGTGCTCAAAAGACATCATTTACTAATTCATAAGACCTGTTTAATTGGAAAATTAGGTACAGAATGTTAAAGGAGGAAGACCTAAGTAAAGGGAGATAACTCATTTTCATGAATATATTCTAAGCTTTTAAGTAACATAGAACTTTTTTATTCTGTATCGAATGTATGCTTAAAATATATCACTGATTCTAACCTGGCATCCTAAACAAACCTCCTCTTTGCATCAGTACAGCCAGGGGTAATACAACGACACATTTCAGCAATGAACAAGACTAAATTACTGTACATGTCCATATTTTATAAACAACAAATATATCAATCAGTTCTATTTAACAGGTGATTAACGATGTTATCCATGATGTTTGGATAATAACTGCTATATTTTTCTGGAATTTGAATTTCTTATGAATTTAAAAATAGTTTTAATAAATTTGTAGGAATATAAATATTTCCAATCATATGTCAAGAAATTATGCTATCCCACGATGCATCATTCTAATATCCAATAAACAAATGCACGTCTTTGTATTCCTCCTGGTTGTACTGTCAAGCAGTGTCAGACCCAGGATCACAGGCTACACTGATTTATAGTTATCTCCCTTTTTCAGGTCTACCCTCTTGATAAAAGCTATTTTATTACCACTACATGTAACACATATATTTAGAATACTGTTAAATACTTTAACTAAAATATTTATATAATTCCACAAAAAAGGTGGTTTAATATATATATCTTATTGCAAAGACCACCAATTCATATCCATATTTTATCACAAATAATAAATTAATTTTTATTATTTTAGGTGCTATTTGTAAAATTATATGCTTCTGTATTAAAAATTACTCAAGCAGAACTAGATTACTTTCACTTACCCATGTTTTTAAATTTGAGTTCTGCTAAGTAATTTTTATTTCTACTTTCAACTATCTCTAGTAAAATCAGGTTCACAGAAGAACAAAAATTATACGACAGTCTTTGCATTAACAAAAGAAATAAATCCTAAATAAATCAAATTTGAGAGTAATTCATGAAGGTTAAAGTGTGAGGGGTTATCTCACCTTGTTATCAGCAGACATCTGTACAAAATTAATTGTTTATTTAAAATGTTAATACTATTTTAAAAGTACAGAGAGAAATACTTGTTCCTTTTTGTGTATCATCCCGCATAGGTAAAGACCATAAAATTGCAATGGAAGCTTCATATGGATGAAATAAGGATAGAGAACAGTTTTATAGCCCTTTTTTTTTAAGATGATAAGAATCTTTTGAAATAATCATATAGGCTATGTGAAAGTCAAATAAAACAACCTTCAATAGTCTGAATTTCACCCTTCCTGTATTGCAACCTGACAAACCTCCGAGAAAAAATGGCATCCTTCATCCATTAACTTGAGATTAAGCAACCCTGTGAACTGAACTGTTTTTAAATTTCTTGTGCAATATACCAATTTCAAACTTTAATTTCCTTATTTTTCTGCATTCTGACTAGTATGTCCAAAAAAAGAAGTCCATTCACAATGTTTATTCACCATTTCCAGGCAAAATGTAATGAAATCTTTACTAGAAGAATATTATGAAAAAAAAAGGAGCTGCAAAGGTTGTCATGCAAAATATACACCCACTGATTATTAGACAATGATGAAAATCCTATGCTTAGTGTGTATGAAAAAATCCATGTATCTTCAAACAGGAAGCAACTACCTGGTAGATCTCAAAATGGCTTAGATGGTACAAATCATCGTAATAAAGTTCCAGAACACAAATATCAAATCATTTTTGATACAAGGGGAGTGCAGTGTAACAATAATTACCAGATGAGTGAGGATAGAATTAAAAACATCCATGCTATAAGTTAAATATATTATAAGTAAAAGGAATCTACTTCACATGTTTGACATAACAATTTGGCAGAATTAAATGGAACTACTTCACATGTTTGACATAACAATTTGGCAGAATTAAATGGAACTACTTCACATGTTTGACATAACAATTTGGCAGAATTAAATGGAACTACTTCACATGTTTGACATAACAATTTGGCAGAATTAAATGGAGCTACTTCACATGTTAAACATAACAATTTGGCAGAATTAAATGGAACTACTTCACATGTTAAACATAACAATTTGGCAGAATTAAATGGAGCTACTTCCCATGTTAAACAGATCAATTTGGCTGAATTAAATGGAGCTTCTTCGCATGTTAAACGTAACACTCTGGCAGAATTAAATGGAGCTACTTCACATGTTAAACAAATCAATTTGGCAGAATTAAATGGAACTACTTCACATGTTTGACATAACAATTTGGCAGAATTAAATGGAACTACTTCACATGTTTGACATAACAATTTGGCAGAATTAAATGGAACTACTTCACATGTTAAACATAACAATTTGGCAGAATTAAATGGAGCTACTTCACATGTTAAACAAATCAATTTGGCTGAATTAAATGGAGCTTCTTCACATGTTAAACGTAACACTCTGGCAGAATTAAATGGAGCTTCTTCACATTCAAAACATAACTATTTGGGAAAATGAACAGAGCTACTTCACATATTTAACACAACTGCTTTTGAAAGAAACACCGAGATAATTCAGATGTTATAAACATAAATTTTGCAGAAAAAATACAGATATTTTAAATGTTTTAAACACATCAATTTGGCAGATTTAAATTATGCTACTTCACATGTTAAATAAATCAATTCGGCAGTGTTAAATGGAGTTACTTCACATGTTAAACAAATCAATTTGGCAGAGTTAAATGGAGTTACTTCACATGTTAAACAAATCAATTTGGCAGAGTTAAATGGAGTTACTTCACATGTTAAACATAACATATAAGCACAGTTAAACGAATGTAAAACACCAAACATAAAAACAACTTAAGGCTATCAAAATACAAGTACATTTCAATACCTTTCCAATATCTGCTACTTTTTCTTTGTCTAATAATTTCTCTTCATCCCTTTCGTGATGCTGTTTTGTGACTAACAACATTCTAAATAGAATTTGAAAATATTAATAATTAACTAAATTAAATGTGTGGTTCTGTAAATTCAAAAATAATTGCAAGGTTTATATGAATGTGAATAATGTGCCTGGATATATTTCACAATAATAAGAACTATGTTTTTGTTAGATGTTTTTCTGCTTTGTATCTATCTGATGAGTTAATCCCTTTTCAACTGATTTTTATAGTTTATTCTTATATTGTACTGTTGCACCACTGTCCCAGGTTAGGGGAGGGTTGGTGCTTTCAAACATGTTTAACCCTGCCACATTCTTTGTGTGCCTGTCCCAAGTCAGGAGCCTGTAGTTCAGTGGTAGTTGTTGGTTAATGACTGTCATATTTGTTTTTCGTAAATTGTTTTGTAATAAATTAGGCTGTTAGTTTTCTCAATTGAGTTGTTTCGTATTTTTCATGTCGGGTCCTTTTATAGCCGACTTTATTATACCTCAGTGTGTATTTTCTTTATAAATAATTGCTAACATCCACTTCATTTGAACTTTGGTGGATAGCTGTCTCATTGGCAATCATACCACATCTCCTTACTTCTATATTACATTCTGATATCTGATACATATACCTATATACAACTTTCCCTGAAATCACAATAATTTATCTTGAATTCTGGTTAGCCATGTAAAATGTGAATATTAGGTAAGCCTTGACATTATTATTTGACTCTGAGGTCTTCAAAGTGACATCATTATTACAATTTTAGCAAAAATAAGCAAATTGTAAGAACATTTTGGCTTAATTTAAACAAGAACATAGGCATCACGCAAAATATTTGTTTGCTTGTGAATAGATAAACACAAAATACTCTTACTATTTGAATATATTTTTAGGCAGCAGATGTCCTCTATATCATTTCTAATCAAGCACAAGTCAAATAGTCAAGATTTTGCATAATTTCACTATTTTACTAAATTTACTTGAATTTCAACTCATGAAAATTGTATATTTTAACCAAAACATTTTCTACATTTTCAAACTGTCTTTCCTTTTGTAAAATTACATGATTTAATATACAGTCAAACCCGTACTAAGCAGTCACACATGTGAAGTATCAAAAGTGCCAGCTCAAGAGAGGTGACCTTTTAAATGAGGTTCTGAAAAAAATTTCAGTTCTGACATCGGATGTGGCTGGAATAAATTTTTCAGTGTTCTCAATCACAGAGTTATTGTTCATGTGAGCATACAAATAAAAAATGGCCGATTCTAAACCTATAAATTTGAAGAAAACATTCAAAATGAGGTGACGGTTAAGGCAGGTTTGACTGTATTACATTTTAACAAACTTCAGAAATACAATTTGTATACCTTCCTACTAAATCAGTTGTTGACACTCCAGCTGTTCTTTTACATTCTCTGAAAAAATATTGGACAATAAGTTGATATCACTATTTCAATGGTGTTTACTGTTTGTACAACAATTAGACTAGAATTCACTAGATACAACAATAGCAATTGGAATATGGAGTAAGATTAAAATCTGAGTTGTTCCCCTTTGAAATTTTGTTCTGTATTTATAATAGTTTATGTCAGTGGTTGTCTTTTGTTATACTTGTATCTTTTTGGAGAATTTAATGTTGCTGTCCCATTGTTGTAAATCCCACATCTCTTTTCATTCATATTCTAATTATTATAATTGGATGAAGAATAAGATAAAAACAAAATTATCCATACTGATGTTGGATAGTATAATGCAAATGTTTAAACTAAAATAGCAATACTTTAACATGTAAACTATGCAAAACATTCAAAGTCATTGAACCATGACTGAAGGTGCAGGAGCTATTAACCTCTGTGGAAATGAGAAATGCCAATGCTTATTCAACTGTATACGAAATACCATTGACTTATCATAAGTGGTTCACTTTAAACTCAAACTTTAACATGTAAACTATGCAAAAGTTTCAAAATCAATGAACCATATTGAGGGGACAGAGTCATATAATTTCCATGGAGTTGAGACATGCATTGCTAATACAGCTGCATACCAAATATCATTGACTCACCATTAGCGGTTCATCTTAAACTGACTTTATCACACACTTTAACATTTGAACTATGCAAAAATTTCATGGTCAATATACCATGACGGAAGGGGCAGGGCCAAATAATCTCCATTAATGATATGTGCCAATGCAAACAGCCAACAAACAAATGTACAGTCATTTATTGTTTACTTATTTTACCCAAATTCATCAAGAAGGTCTGACTTGTATTTGCTGAGGAAAATGTGAAAAAAAAAGTCATATCTGTTCATCACTGAAGCTTGGTGTCATACATCAAGAAGCTATGTATTTGTAAAGATTGATTGATTGATTGATTGGTAATTACTTTACGCTGCATCAGCATATTTGTAAAGATGAATGTGACATACTGGTAAATGTGTTGTGGACAGACAGACACACAGACATAGGTAAACCACTATGATCCCTACCGTTGGATTATGGGTATAATAACAAGATGTCAGTATCTGTAACAATCTCAAAAAAAAGTATCTTACTTGTATTTTCCATTAGCTTTGACAAGATAGTAAGTATCTGTACCATCAGCAGTTGTTGTGATATCATCTGAAAAAGAAGCGTTTGTAGATCCCATATTAAAGAGATTATAATAAATTGTCTAACTGAACTTTAAATATGGATTGTCTAGCTGGAACTCATCAACATAACTCAAACTGGAACTATAACAAGAGAATGCAGAATAAAACCGGTTGGGACCAATTACCCAAAAAGATTATAATAACTTATAACAAAGGGTTGCATTTCAGTATTCATATCAACTCAAAGATGTATACACTTGATTGCATCTCAGTGGTTACACAGCAAGTTCAATTTTTCAATCAGGAGTACACAATTATGGTAATATTGTAATTCCTTTTGATGTTAAATAACAATGTCATAGAACTATGACTAGGTCAATAGCATGATTGTAAAGTTTGACAATTATAACATTATAATTTTAATTGAACACTAACAATAACAATGTCACAGTTAAATGACATTGTTGTTAAAACAGCAAATCATTATCATTATGATTGTGGAATACTGTTTCAAAATAAGAGATTTTGGACTATTTGCTTTGTTATAACTAAGATGCAATCAAGCAAAGAAAAAAATGCATACTTAAGGGAAATTCTTTGAAAGTTGAAGGAAGGAGTGTAGTACAAGCACTTTAAATCTTCACAGTATCAGACCTCATTAGATCCTTTCAGATTAATATTGATAAATGCCAAGTAATAATGATTGCTATTCTTTGATCTGGTGTCTAGTACATCTAGCTAATTGTTTATTAGCATATTTTTTTATGTTTAATGAACTATATATATTTTAGTGAATCATGATAATTATATGTGCAGAGATTAACAATGTGTTTCATTATGTATTGGAGGGATTTTTAGTTTAATGTAATATCCTTAGAATCTTTCTATTTGCTGCTGACCAAATGTGAAGTAATCCATTTCAGTCATTTCTGAGAAAAGTGAGATGAAAATATCTTTCCAAAAGAATGGACAAAGGGACAATGGGATTGCAATATAGCCCCCCCCCCCCCCCACCCACACACACACACACACAAATCATAGGGTGGGCTATGACATGATATAATACTGTTTGTTTTCAACTAATCAATATTTTTTTCCATATCTTCTACTTGAACATAAATTAACTAATTAATAACATCTGTTCAGCTATCAATTTTACAAATATAAAAAAGCATTGATCTATAACTTGGTAAAAATATTTTTTATTTAAGTAATTGATTACTAATAATTTGCAGTTACTAAGTATACTCAAGTATTATCACTGCTAACAAGATTTTCATAAATATCCCATTTTTCAATAGATATATGTATGATAGTTAATATTCCAAATTACGTCATAGTTATCAAACAATCAAGTATTTTTCATCAGGAGTGCACAAACATATACAGATTTAGTGAAATGGAGTAGGCTTTGTCTACAAACAAAACATTTTCAGATAAAAAGTTGTGACTTGCAGAGGATAATATTCATATTCTACAAAAAAAAAAGTCAAATAATTTGGAACAGTGAATCATTATAAAATATTCAATATAACAAAAAAAAAATTAAAAAGTTTATAAAAAAAAAGAAATAAAAAAGTAACTGATGAATATCAAAACTTTACATTTTGAGCTATTTCACTTAATCTCAGAAATCTATTTGGTGTAAAGGCAATCTTATGACTCAAAATCAATTCTTCATGATCAATGAAGCGTAAAAGACAAAAGAAACAATAAACAAACAAACAGTGTATTACCTCCATGTACACAGAAATCACAGTCATATTCTTCCAATGTTTCTAAGGTTGTTACATATGGAGCATCCTCTACAACCTACAAAAACAATCAAGCTTGAAACTATTGTAGAACTTTATTTGTTATGGCACTAATAAAATAACACTTATAGATTACTGAACACTATGGCTTTCTACTATACCACTACCTAGAACAGATTTTTAATCCCTGTAGTGTAATAGGACTAAAACTTTTGCTAATTTGAAGTGAAAGAAAAAGATTTCTCTGACAATTACTATTCAAAGAAGTGAGAGAAAAACTCAGCTGTCTTTTGGGTTGGTTTTTTTTTCAATGTTGCTAGATTGCTTACTCATTGATATTTACCACTGAGGCACTGAGAGATCTTGATGATAAGGTCAAATGAGATTAATTCAGTATATTTGCTTTCGATTGAGCTCCTCACATTTATTTTGTCTACTAATAACTATTTTATTACTATAATGTAAGGGATCATATTACCTGATCAACCCATTTAATAGCTCTAACCATCTTGTATCTCTCTTCTTCATTGTAAACTGGTGGTCCTTTGTTTTTGGTTATTTCAGCTACAATGTATAAAATAAATATATTTTAATTAAAAATAATGTTTTTGCCAGGCAGTTAAACCATCATATTTTTGCCAGTAAGTTAAACCATCATGTTTTTGCCAGGAAGTTAAACCATCATGTTCTTGCCAGGAAGTTAAACCATCATGTTTTGCCAGTAAGTTAAACCATTGTGTTTTTTGCCAGTAAGTTAAACCATCCTGTCTTTGCCAGGAATTATACCATCCTGTTTTTGCCGGGATGTTAAACCATCATGTTTTTGACGGTAAGTTAAACCATCGTGTTTTTGCCAGTAAGTTAAACCATCATGTTTTTGCCAGGAAGTTAAACCATCTTGTTTTTGCCAGTAAGTTAAATTATCATGTTTTTGCCATGAATATTCATACTCTAACCATTGATGTAGTAACCATTTTTCTTGAAGGCATTCAATTGTACTATAAATTTGAAAATTTTGCCGACGTTTTTATTATTAAGGATAAGTTTGGTTAATTTTCCGAGTATAAATATCATGACTTCCTAGGCCAATCATGATCGGACAAGATCAATCTTGTTAAGGCTTGCACAAAAGTTGATGTCAAACCCTGCTTAACTATATATAGTATTTCATTTTAGATTGACACTATACAAATTCAAATTGAATTGATTATTAAAGTAACCAGTCTAAAGAGATACCTTCTAAGCATACATACCATCAGAATGTACTCCAACAATTAAATAATCACCCATTTCTTTGGCCTGTTGTGACAGAAACAAAAATCATTTATTTCATAATGAAAAATTTTCATAATAAAGCAAATGCCATCTATCGAAAGTTTTCATATTTTCATACTAAGCATAGGATATCAACTCATTTGTATCTTTTTTTGTTGGCCATTGTTACATTTGTAGTAATATGACAGTCCACATAATACATAACATTTTTAAATTGTGCCATTATTGTGGATAGTGTTTGATTTTTAATAAACAACACTTGCTGGTTGTAAAATATCAAGTTCTAGGAATACTTCACAAGCATAAGAAAAAGGATTCCCATTCTATTTGAAACTATCTTTTCTTGGGGTTTTCATAGATTTTTCCTAGACACTCCTCCATTTCCAAGGATGGTATCAGAAGAAATAGATGAAGAAACTATAATATTAAGCTACTTCTGACTGTAAGACATTCAAGGATGTGTTCTTCTGACCTTTCAGTCTCGTTGAAATCTCGTTCTAGAATTATTTCCAAAACATGTGATACAAGTGCAAAATATCAATTAATTTCAAAAATGTTATAATCAAACTTAACTCTGTGAAAAAATTGTGTATTTACAATAAGTAGTTTTTCAGTAATAACATTTTCAAATTTTATTACCAATCAAGTCATTTTCATTAGCCAAAATGTTGAGAAAATGGGTATGAGATTTACTAGATAACATTTTTGTTCGCTTTGGAGATTCCGTATATCGTCAGGTTATCGGAATTCCAATGGGGACTAACTGTGCACCACTTATTGCGGACCTTTTTTTGTATTGCTATGAGTTACAATTTATGACAAAAATTAGCAAAGACCCATCGAAACAACATCTGATACTCAAATTTAATAATACTTTTAGATATTTGGATGATATTTTGGCTCTCAATAATGACGACTTCAGTATGTATACTAAAGAAATTTATCCTGTTGAACTTACTTTAAATAAAGCTAATACTAACAATGACCACTGCCCTTTCCTCGATCTTGATATCTATATCATTAACGGAAAGCTTAATACTAAAATATATGATAAAAGAGATGACTTTTCATTTCCTATCGTTAATTATCCATTTTTAGATGGTGACGTTCCCTTGTCACCATCTTACGGTGTTTATATATCTCAACTTGTACGATTCGCTCGTGTATGTAACAATGTTTTAGACTTTAACGAGAGAAATTTATGTATTACTGAAAAATTATTACACCAGGGTTTTCGATATCACAAACTAGTCAAAACATTTACTAAATTTTATCATCGGTATAAGGACATCATTCGTAAATATAGCTCAACATGCAGACTTCTTATACGTTCAGGTATTTCACATCCAATTTTTTATGGAAATATTCTTTATAAAGCACAAAAATGTCAGTATTCACCTCTGAAGCTAACAAAACCTTTAAATAGACTTATTAAGAAGGGATATAGTTACGATACTGTTGTCAGGTCATTAAAGATTGCATATTTTGGCGTTAATATTGATTCACTTATAGGGTCTTTGCATCGGCACTAAACACATTTATTTAAAAACCAGTTGTTGGTATGACACGGGTTATGTTCTTCTCATATATGTTATGATGGTATGATACTAAACCCCTAACGGGAAGGATTGTGCCTGATATTCATATGATGAAGACATAATCTTTCAATCAGTTTAATTGAAGTCTGGAGCTGGCATGTCAGTTAACTGCTAGTAGTCTGTTGTTATTTATGTATTATTGTCATTTTGTTTATTTTCTTTGGTTACATCTTCTGACATCAGACTCGGACTTCTCTTGAACTGAATTTTAATGTGCGTATTGTTATGCGTTTACTTTTCTACATTGGCTAGAGGTATAGGGGGAGGGTTGAGATCTCATAAACATGTTTAACCCCGCCGCATTTTTGCGCCTGTCCCAAGTCAGGAGCCTCTAGCCTTTGTCAGTCTTGTATTATTTTTAATTTTAGTTTCTTGTGTACAATTTGGAGTTTAGTATGGCGTTCATTATCACTGAACTAGTATATATATTTGTTTAGGGGCCAGCTGAAGGACGCTTCCGGGTGCGGGAATTTCTCGCTGCATTGAAGACCTGTTGGTGACCTTCTGCTGTTGTCTGTTCTATGGTCGGGTTGTTGTCTCTTTGACACATTCCCCATTTCCATTCTCAATTTTATGAGGTACAAGAAATGATTTTACCAGAAACATATACATTCAATATTAATTTTTTCATTTCAAATTTCATAGATATGTATTTTTCAATCATTTATAACAAAGAAGTTGAAATAATATGCTTTTTGTTCCAAAAAAAGAGAATAATCCCAAATTTACAAAATTCACAACATAAATTTGACACAAAAAAGCCACAAAATTTTATAAAACTTTCTTATATTAACACCTACCTATAGTTTTTTTTAAGTTAAAATTATTCAGATTGGTCCACTTCATCTTTATTGAAAGTATTACAAAAAGTTTAATTGTGAAACTGTGATTTTTTTATTGATAATAGCCCAAAAAAGGGTAAAAATTGATGAAAAATGGGAAAATCATCAGAATTGGGTACTTTCAAATGGCTGTAGCAAAAAATGAAGTGCACCACCATATGATTTTTTCTTCACCAATTATTTTTTTACAGTCATATAAACCCAAAAATCAGGTTAAGAAAAAAAGTTTAATTCTAGAAATTTTTGGCTCCTCAGAGGTGTACATCCTAAAGTTGGGAACATTTACAGACAAATTGCAGAAATAATATAATAATAAAAATCAAATACCGTATAGCGGGTTATTTTCGCGGGGTGTTTATTTTCGCTTATTTTGGCTGATAAACGAAAATCGTGAAAATAAATTCCGCGAAAATTTATGCATACATTGAGTACTTTCTAATAGCTAAAGCGTTTTGTGAACGATCTATTTTACCCGGTCGGCAAGTCAATAGCGGTTTATGTTAGTTTTAACAACATAAATGCCAAAGGGCATTGTACAAACATGTATTTTATAAAATGACTGTCAGGTGTGTATACCCTAATTAATAAGTGTCAGTTAGATTAAGAGTGTAAGGTACTCTGATCAGATAATTACCCTTATTAATTAGTGTCAAACTATACAAGAGTTGTAAACACTCATGATAATTTTGTAACCTAATTAGTAAGTACATCAAAGGTCCGGTCAATTTCGAAACTAATCAACCGTAAAAATTTTAAGACGTTTGAATACCTGTAACAAATACCCAAGTCAACGGTATTCTTTTTATTAACTGTATCAGAATATAATCAATAAATAAGATGTCATTTAGGTAAAAAAATCATTTTACCATAACAATAGACACTTGTTTGTCAAGTCATACAATTTTTTAACTGCAACAATATCAATATCCGCCAAAATATTTAATTGGGATTTGAGAATCTACCAAAATAAAAACCACCAAAATTTTTCGTATACTTTGCTGCCCCTAAATTGAGAAATTTTACACCCGCGAAGATAACCCGCTATACTGTAGTATATGAATAGTTCTTATTCAGACTAATATCAGGAATAATTTGAATCACCCAGAGTTGCATGCAGGTAACAACAACTTGAATTTCAAGATTTCCAGACCTAAAATAAGCTTCCAAACTTTTTCCAGTTTACCAGTTCTCAAGGTAGAGTTGAAACCCTTGAGAAATTCCCTTGAAATAAGGATAATTATATGAGACTAAATGCTAAAGAAAAATAGAATGTTGATATGTGTTATATTTTATATATCCTGCTTTTTGAAGTGCTATATACTGATAGGGATGGCAATCTCTCTCTGCTCTCCATCCCACCTTAGTATTGGTTACTGCTCCTGAACTGCATGTAATCTTTTTAAATACTTTTGCATTTTTCATCATCCAAATGATTTTTGGGTTTACATTGGCATGACAAGAGCCTTGCCATATCTGCAGACTTTAGTATTTGTATTCTTTTCTTCTCCTTAACCAATGGTCAAAATCTAATGAAAATTTCTCAATATCTTCACCAAATACATAATATAATGCTGTTGTGCACCTCATATTTTTTTATATCTGAATTATTTTTGGAAGTTTCCAAATTATTGACATTTCAAGGGGCAGGGATACAATTTTGTGAGCTTTGCTTGCAGTACTTCAAGTTTCATGTTTTACTCTTGAGAATACTGGCATCAAATTTTACAAACTACAAAAGTTGTAAATGTAAATAAACTATTCACAAAGAGATGTGTCTCGCCTGTCAGCAGAAAATTAAAAATAAAAATAACTAAAATAAAAAGACAATCTGATAGACAGCAACATTGCTAATTAATTCAAAGTTGCTGGATCATGACCTAGGGTGCAGGGCCTTGAAAAGTCGTAAAACTAATATGTACGAATAGTAATGCAACTTTATAGAAGATATCATTGATCTATCACAAGTAGTTCCTATCAAACTGACTTAAGGAGAAAATTTCACAATTGTTGAGACCTCGGCCGTCACCCCTAGAAAAGCAACACCTATGTTTCGCTTTCAGCAACTTTCATTGTAGGCGAGACAAAAGTAGTACATGAATGTATAATATATATGTAAAACACCAAATCATTATCAACATAAGATATAAATTAGGGTTATATAATGCCAAATTAAGTACTGAAGATTGTTAGAATTATATCACAAGAGTGCACACGCTGAAATGTCTCAACTGTTTTAATGACCATTGATTTTATGTTGAAAGTCTTAAAGATAAAGGTTTTACTACAAGTATCACATAAACTTAACATTTTCAAAGATCCATGACAATTAGGTCAAGGTCAGAAAAAAACTGTCACACAGACATGTACTCCTTACAATTATTCCATACACCAAATAAAGTTGACATTGCTTATGGTAATTGAAAAAAAGACCAAAACACAAAAACTTAATGTTAACCAATGGACCATAGAAATGAAGTCAAGGTCAGATGATACTGGCTAGACAGACATGTACACCTTACAATCATTCCATACACCAAATTATAGTTGACCAATTGCTAATAGTATTTAAACAAGCATTCTGTGAGTATTGCATGGCAATACATAGTCCACTAACGGTTACAAATTCATTGTGATTGTAAAACTATATACTAATTATCAAATCAATATCTTCAAGAATGACAAACAAACCTACCACTAAATTCAAAGAAAAGGAAAAAAATCCAAAATGTCATTTTGTCTTTTAAAAAATGAGTTATTTCCCTTTGAACAGAAATCTACTAATTAATAAGTATTTCATCAAAAATTTAATTCTAGGGAAAGGGCTTTAACTGAACAAAGAGAAAAGCTTCAATCGTGAAAATTGAACTTGACCTGTAACTTGTCATGATAAATCAATAAACCAAATATCAAATCAATATCTTCAAGCACGAAGAAAAAAGTCTGGAAAACTGATTTGCCGGACTGAGAGATGGACAAACAGACAGACGGACAGACAGACGGACAGAGTGCAAACCTAAAGTCCCCTTCGACTTCGTCAGTAGGGGACTAAAAACAGACCAAAACACAAAAACTTAACATTGACCAATGAACCATGAAAATGAGGTCAAGGTCAGATGACAACAGTATTTGAAAAACAGACCAAAACACAAAAAATTAACAATGACCAATGAACCATGAAATTGAGGTCAAGGTCAGATGAAACCTGCCAGTCTGACATGTACCCTTTACAATCATTCCATACACCACATACAGTTGACCTGCTGCTTGTAGTATCTGAGAAACGGACCTAGTCACGTAACTTTGACCTTGATCACTGATCCATGAATTGAGGTCGAGGTCAGGTTAACCCTGTCTGAAGGACATGTAGGCGTTGCAAGGAACCCATATATATACCATATAAAGTTATCCTATTGCTCATCATAAGTGAGAAATTCACATGACTGTATTTTTTTTTCAAGCAGTCACTGAACCATGAAAATGTAGTCAAGGACAATGGGCATATGACAGACAGAAACTTCGTAACATAAGGTATCTGCATACAAGGTATGAAGCATCCAGGTCTTCTACCTTCTTCTGAAACATATAGCTTTATACAAATAGTTTACGCCGCTGGATAGTAATACCAATGTCTCGCATACTGCGAGCGAGACAAAAATCCAGTCAGTGGTAATGAAAGAGTTGTGAATACAAATGCAGAGGCACAAACAAACTCACAATACCTATAGTACAGTCCAAGTGCAAGAAGTGTGTGGATAATAATTAAAATCATCAATAGTATGTTCATTTTTCAGTTCAAATGTAGTTATTGTAATATTCATGCTGGAGTTTTATTCAGGCCAAACACATGTTTCTGATTAAATGCTGACAAATAAATGGTCAGTAGCTATAGACAGGTAAATGTTGTTGTTTTTCATCCTGACTTGACCAATTGTCATTCAAAAATAGCCACAAATCTGCATAGCAATGATTGTATGCACTAAAAATTGGCATCAGTTGAATTTATAGTATATATACTACATGTAAAACTTTGAATTGTTGTTTTGTATATTATCATGAGATTTGTAATGGAGAACACTAATGTACTATTAGTTATCTTAATAAAGAATCTGAATCTGGATTAATAGTAGAAAAACATATACTTTTAGGGGCCTTATTCAATACATGTATATTTCAAGAGTTCAAGATGTAATGTTACAATAATAAAGTAAAGGCATAGTTTAACTATCTAGTATTTGGTCAACTTGTTACATCTGATAATATTGTTTGGATTACACAAATCTAAATAAAGAATTGTGATAATCTGAAATGATAAAATAATGTTACTGCATGATAAGATAAATTTAAAAGTACATGAACCCCAGGAAAAAATATGGTTGTTTAGGGTTACTAGTTACTAAGTAATATATAAATGCATCTCCTTTTTTCCAAAATAATTTATATACATGTATATACATGTAATATGCATGTTAATTTTCCATGTACACATAGATCATATGGTTTTCTACACACTGATATCATATAATATCAGCTGCAAGCCAAAATGTGTGGAGGGAACGAGCAAAAAATTTCATATTGTTTCTATATCTATACATAGAAAATAAGATAATCTGTCATTCCACTCCCTTAATAACCTGTTTTACTCATGATGAAAGAAAGTTTGATAAAATCTAATCACACATTGTGACATTGCTCATAAACTTCTCCACAAACACTGTCACATTGCTAATTAGTTCTGCTCATATTTCTAAGCCATATGATACAGAAGTTCCTGAGTAACTGAGCAGGGTGATATCATGGATATCGGCAAAGGAATGACAATAATATATTTGTGTACAACCTTGACTTCAAAGCTATTTAAACTTTAAAAATTCAATAAAAAGGGATGGGATGATAGCTATAGGCACCAAACCTATGGAAGATACGTGTATGGACACACACATACATTTTTGTGTGGACTTACTAGTAAATTAACACTACAATACATTACCTGTCTAATGGCATTTGCGTGTCCAAAATGTGCCATGTCAAAACTGAAAAAAAAAAGTACAAATTTAATAATTTGTAAGTCCAATTGACGGATGGTCTGCCTCAAACAAGAAATATTATATTTTTTTGCCATTCTATAAAAAGTAAAGAAATAAGGAAATGTATTGTATGTTGATTTGGTCTGTTGAACTATTGTTAGTTAATTCCTGTTATCAATTTTATGGTATTATTTTATTTTTACTTCATGTACGTGTACAAAATGTAAATCCCTCTGTTATTCCAAGATCCCCTCGAGAGCCACAAGGGAACAGCGGAATCTGTATTTTTTTCATTGTTCCTGGCAATGAATTATTTAGTATAACTGCATCCAATTAACTTGTCATGATAGTTTAGCTAGTCCTAACTCGATTTTTGTAGGATTACAGCTTAACAACTTTCACCAAATATAAATATAATCTAAATTGACAATGTCTAGATAGAACATGGATTGATAAAAGTATGATTATCAAAAATGAATTGCAATATATTTTTTTTGGTATGTTCAATGACAGTTTTGATCTTTAAGGTAACATTCTTATATAATTTTGTATTTAATTGGTACTTTATTCCTATTTTCAAAGATAGATAATATTTTAGGAGCACAAATTTGTAATAAGCTAAAACAGGGGAAGTAACTCCAAAATTAATTTCCAACACGTTTACGATGAAGTTGAGATGGACGACATTTCTGTGAAGGCATAGTTGTATTTTGATGACTTAAATTCTATACTAAAGTCATGAAAGTCTTTATTTTTACACTCTTCCATTGGGACTTGGAGATCGAAAATGCCGACCCAAGCTTAAAACACTCGCCGACACATTCATCAATTTATATTCAATTTGACAAGGTACATTGTCTTAATTAAATTACCTAGTTATTAACACCTTTGAAGTCTAATCAACTGTAATTGATTTTAATGACATGATTAACCTGGGGGCAATCACCAGGTGTCATATATGTAATTTAACTTTGTGATTAAAAATCGATGAGACAAAAAGCAATTTTACCAGTACATTGCCAAAACGGCACAATGGTTTTTTGGGAAAAGGCGTCAGGGCATAAGGGTGCAGCTGAGGGCACCAAGGACGTGGCGCCCTTCTATTTTGGGCTAACGAGACCACTGTGTTTGTGTTGTATATGAATCTGATGTTATTACATGTATGTTTTGTTTATTAATATCAGTCGGTTAAAGAGCTCTTAAGAGCTCATGTTCCTTGTTATTATGTATATATGCAACCCAACTTTAAATAAAGATTACTTACTTACTTACTTACTAAGGCTATGAACACACATTAAGACATTTAAATTGATCACATTTATTGTTAATTTGCTCTGTAAATGTCGTCTGCATACCAGATTATGATCCCTAGTTATTGAATATTTGTATCAAAATAAGATTGTGTGATCATGGCAAAGTAGTAGCTGAATATTAAAAGGTACGCGGGTTTTAAAAAGTTGCCAAAGTGTCAAAAATTATGTACATTCGTCAGTAGACATCCTCGCGTAACTTATCACAAAATAAATTTACCATCCATCAACCCAAACTCGAATTTGCTTTTTCTTCTTTCTACCTGAATCTCCCGCTTCATTTTGGTTTCTTTTTGATGCCATTGCAAACTGAAACTGAATATGTATTTGTACGTGGAATTTCGTTGCGAAGTCTAAACAAGCATAGACTGGAAAGTGTATTTCGGAGAGCAAACGAAGCAAATCGACTGGAAATCAGTAAAATTTTAAATCGTGAATCGTATACGGAAAGGTCCCGGTTTTGAGCATATTTGTGTTCGATCGATAAATTTTCTTATCTCTGCGCAAAGGGATTAATGTTTATATCATAATATAATCTACTAACATTTAGAAGTGCTGTAGATCTATTTCGTATGATTTTATTAAAAGGGACAATTATTTGCACTTTTTTTCTTATATCAGCAAGGATTTGTAAAGTAATTTAAGACTTTACAAATCCTTGATATCAATAAGTATGCTGATGGATTTGTCGCCGTTTTAAAGAGCTTGTTAGTTGTCTTGATATGGTCATAATTATAAATTAAACTGTTTACAAAACTTCGAATTTTTGAAATACTAAAGCTTTTCAAGGCTACCTCAGGAATAGATTACCTTAGCTGTATTTGTACTTTTAGGAATTTTTGGTCCTCAATGCTCTTCAACTTCGTACTTCATTTGGCCTTTTTAACTTTTTTTGATTCGAGCGTCACTGATGAGTCTTTCGTAGACGAAACGCGCGTCTTGCGTTAATACAAAACATCAATCCTGGTATCTATGATGCGTTTATTTGTATATATATATACCGACTTTAAATAAAGCTTTAATATGTCTTATAATGACAATGAAGGACGTTATATATGTTCCGGACTATGTGAGTATTTGGACCATATACGTATATTGTATACTCATATGGCCCAGATAATTAATACGATGAACGTTGATCAGTTACTCCTTTAATAAGGTTCTGTATGGCAAGCCGTTCTCGTCAAAACTATGTTTAAACCCATTTTTCGAAGAAAGAAAAAACACACACAGAGAATTAAACAAGAGTGCACACGCTGAAATGTCTCGCCTGCTTTACAGACCATTGATTTTATGTTGAAAGCTTAAATATGAAGATTTTTCTAAAAGCATTACAGAAACTTAACACTTTTAAAGGTTTATGACAATGAGGATGAGTTCAGTTAAATCGTGTCAGACAGACATATATACCTTACAATTTCACCAAATATAATTGACCTATTGCCTTTGCTAATTGAAAAACAGACCAAAACACAACTAGAGAGCCTGTGTCGCTCACCTTGGTCTGTGTGCATATCAAACAAAGGACACTCTCCAAGTTGACAACATTGTAGACAAAAATAGACCTTATTACAAAAATCTCTATTTTGTTGATCTTGTAATACTGATCTTTTAGTCTGTTTAGTTTCTCTCTATCTTCTTTAGTTTTTGCTCAAAACACAACAGAGGGTAAACAAAATCCTAATTTAAGGGCAATCACTCATATGGAGAGTGACAGTCTATTAACTATATCGGCAAAATTTGACTTTTTAATAGATCTTGCCTTGCTGATCATTTTTGTGATTTAAAGTGTGTATTTATCTATTATGATTAAAATCATATAAGTCATAACGGGAAAAAATTTTCTCTCTAAATATCATAGTTTTCATGGTAATAGGCAAAAATAAAAAAAATGGTAAAATTTGTCATTTATGGGCAATAACTCATATAAGAATTTATCTAACAGTTTTGACTTATATGGACAATTGGTAGAGCTCATTATTCTGAACATTTTTGCTCCTTTCAGATTTTCTCTATTTATAACGGTTCAAAAAATAATAGACAAAACTTGCATTTTACCCCTATGTTCTATTTTTAGCCATGTTGGTTGGTATGTGGGGTCAACAGGCACATTTTTAAAACTAGATACTCTAATGATGATTGTGGCCAAATTTTGTTAAATTTGTCTCAGTAGTTTCAGAGGAGAAGATTTTTGTAAAAGATTACAAAAATTTACAAAAAAATTGTTAAAAATTGACTATAAAGGACAATAACTCCTTAAGAAGTCAATTGACCATTTTGGTCATGTTGACTTATTTGTAGATCTTACTTTGCTGAACATTATTGCTTTTTACAGTTTATCTCTATCTATAGTAATATTCAAGATAATAACCAAAAACTGCCAAATTTCCTTAAAATTACCAATTCAGGGACAGCAACCCAACTACAGGTTGTCTGATGTGTCTGAAAATTTCAGGGCAGATAGATCTTAACCTGATGAACATTTTAACCACTGTCAGATTTGCATTTTACTCCTATGTTCTATATTTAGTCATGTCGGCCATGTTGGCTGGTAGGCGGGGTCGTCGGACACATTTTTAAAACTAGATACCCTAATGATGATTGTGGCCAAGTTTGGTTAAATTTGTCTCAATAGTTTCAGAGGAGAAGATTTTTGTAAAAGATTACAAAATTTTACAAAAAAATGTAAAAAATTGACTATAAAGGGCAATAACTCCTTTAGGGGTCGATTGGCCATTTTAATCATTTTGACTTATTTGTAAATCTTATTTTGCTGTACATTATTGCTGTTTACAGTTTATCTCTATCTATTATAATATTAAAGATAATAACCAAAAACTGCAAAATTTTCTTAATATTACCAATTCAGGGGCAGCAACCCAACAACGGGTTGTCTGATTTGTCTAAAAATTTCAGGGCAGATAGATCTTGACCTGATGAACAATTCTATCTTATCAGATTTGCTCTAAATGCTTTGGTTTCAAAGATATAAGCCAAAAATCTACATTTTACCCCTATGTTCTATTTTTAACCGTGGCGGCCATCTTGGTTGGCGGGCCGGGTCATCGGACACATTTTTTAAACTAGATACCCCAATGATGATTGTGGCCAAGATTGGCTAAATTTGGTCCAGTAGTTTCAGAGGAGAAGATTTTTGTAAAAGTTAACGGACGACGACGACGGACGACGGACACCAAGTGACGAGAAAAGCTCACTTGGCCTTTCAGGCCAGGTGAGCTAAAAACTTAACATTGACCAGTTAACCATGAAAATGAGTTCAAAGTCAGATGATACCTGCCAGACAGACATGTACATCTTACAATCATTCCATACACCAAATATAGTTGACCTATTGCTTATAGTACTTGTAAAACAGACAAAACCACAAAAATATTTCATTGAGCAATGAACCCTGAAAATAAGGTCAAGGTCAGATGAAACCTGCCAGACTGACATGTACCCATTACAATCATTCCATACACCGAATATAGTTGAACTACTGCTTATAGTATTTGAGAAACATACCTAATCACGTAACTTTAACCTTGATCACTGAATCATGAAATGAGCTCGAGGTCAGATGAACTCTGTCTGACAGACACGTAGACGTCGCAAGGGACCCATATACCAAATATAGTTCCTATTACTCATAATAAGTAAGAAATTCACATGACAAAAAAACTCAAATTTTTTTCAAGCAGTCATGCACTGAACCATGAAAATGAGGTCGAGGACAATGGACATATGTTTGACGGAAACTTTGTGATATGAAGCATCCAGGTCTTTTACCTTCTGAAATATAAAGCTTTATACAATAGTTATCATAGGCTTGTAATTTGATACGCCAGACGCGCGTTTCGTCTACATAAGACTCATCAGTGACGCTCAGATCAAAATAGTTAGAAAGCCAAACAAGTATAAAGTTGAAGAGCATTGAGGACCAAAATTCCAAAAAAGTTGTGCCAAATACGGCTAAGGTAATCTATACCTGGGATAAGAAAATCCTTAGTATTTCGAATAATTAATACTTTTGCAAACAGTTAATTTATAAAAATGACCATATAATTGATATTCATGTCAACAAATACAAATAGTTTACGCCGCAGCCGCCACCGGATAGTAATACCTATGTCTTGCATACTGCGACTTTCATCGCAGGCGAGACAAAAAATCACACTGAGATTTAAAAATCTTAAATAACACACTGAGAAATCGAAATTACACACTGAGAAATCGAAATTACACACTGAGATTTTAAAATTACACACTGAGATTTAAAAAAAAATGAAAAACACACATTGAGAATTTAAAAATTGCACACTGAGATTTAAAAAAAAAAAGATACACTGAGATGAAATAAATTGAAAAACACGCACCGAGAATTGTTTATTACACACTGAAATTTAAAAAATACACACTGAGATTAATACGCACATTAATTTACTAATGAATATTCATGAGATGAATACTTCAACAGATTAATATGTTGGTCTCCCGAACTCTCGTCATTATAATGAAATGCGGTTCCTTCAACCAACATTCGTAATAAATTTCAAGACTTAACATCGTTTTTGCTAACTCATATTCATAAGTTTGTTGCCTATATTCATACCTTATTTAGTAAGTTTACTATAAAGATATTGAATGTCATATATTATATGTGCTTTCACTTTGAATATGCTTCCTGTGAATAGCTTTTAGTGCTGAAAGTGAATCTACAAATATTACAGCATTTTCTGGTTGAAATTCTTCCAACCAATATAAAGATAATAGTATGGCTGTTAATTCACACATAACTTTTGAGACATGTTTTTTGTAATTTAAAACCTTTATTACTTTTAGTTCTGGTACTACAAAAGCACATGCATTTGTGTTGTTTTCTGGATCCATATTTTTAAATAGTTACAGTACTTTGTATCAATTAGGATATTTCCTTCACTTTTAATGAGGTGAGGACTATCCTTTTTTGTTATAATTGTTGTAAGATCAGTTCTGACCTTGGGTTTTAAAACATGCCATGGTGGGGTTGGAAACTCTTGATATTTGAAAATAGTATTAGTATCTACATTGAATGTATTCATAGTATCATGTGCAGTAACACAATATGGTATTTGATTTTCCTTGATTTTTTCCATGTTAAATTCATGGATAGCATTTTCTTGTAGACTCTTCTTAGTTGGTTTTGTGTCATTGAGACTAAATATATTTAAAAAAGACTTAGTAATAAGACTTTTTCTTTTCAACTCATGTGGGCGGGGGGGGGGGGGGGGGTCACCAATTTCAATTTTCAGTCCACTTATACTAGCAGTTTTATGAGCACCTGCACATATTCTTAAGGCTTGTGCTTGTATGCTATTTATTTTTTTCTTAATAGAGTGGGAGGCTGAGTTATAAACTTAA